TTATGCTGAGTTTTCAATGTAAGTATTAGGATGGTCTAATTGATACATTTACGTAGTATCCACATAGGGAAGCAAAAGGGAGGAATTACCAAATGATTGAAGATAGAGCGAACTTGCGGACGTGAACCATCTCTATAGCTTCTTATAGAGACTAAGAGCATGCCACAAAGACAAGACTGGCAAAAGCGAACAAAGAATGCATAAACAGACAAATGTATAGCAAACTACATAAGCAACTAGAAAATAGAATATACGTTAGTATAGTATATCACACAAGTGTAAGAACAGGGTAAAGTCTCTTCATGCATAAAAATACACCACACCGAGCATCCTCTAATAAGATTTCCTTCTGCATGTTATTTACACTGTCTGAGTATAGGATAACCTAAGCAGCATTTTACTTGTTAATGAGATATGTGTTTGTGAGGTACTGAAAGAACATCTCGGTCAATGCGAAAACTCGGGCTGTCACCTCATTCTGGAGAGTCCAGACTTCGACAAGGCCTGTCTGGGGTCCTTCCTGGTCTTTACGGAGTGCCCAAATATTGTCTTCTAGCATCTTAAGTCGGTAAGTAATGCCAGGGTAGCCCCGTGACGTCAGTTACTGTGATAGCATATCGGCGAGGGCAGGAGCTTTGTCTAGCGCTTTCCCATCTTCAGCATTTTGCCACTTCGTCATCTTTATGTAGGTTAGCCATTCGACAGGTGGGAAGGTATCTGTACCGATGGTAATAGTACGCAAGGTGTCCACGCGCTGGATTGTCTCGTGGGGGGCTAGGATGGTAACTAGTAATAACAACACTTAGCTCTCACGATGCCCACTCCAGGGAAGTTTCTCACAGTTTGGTGAAAGTTAAGTAAAAAATCGGATATGTCGGTGTTGGAGTTGTGAGAATGGGGGAGAGTAGATGATATGTCAGTGGGTTCCGGTTTCGCTATCTATGTGAGAAATCGTGGAATATGCCTAGTCAAAAGAAAGGAGAGTGAAGTGAAGGTATTTCTCTGCTACACTAAGCATAGGAAGTATGATATCAAAGATTAGTTTTGTCTTGCCCATTTGGAGTGTGCTATGGGAGGAACATTCGGACAGGGGAAGATCGAGTCTCATGTTCTAACTTCAATCAGACCCTGAAACTGGTATGGCATCCGAGGAAAGCCCGCTTCCCTCCAAATCGGGCCATATCACACCGTTGCAAGTGCATTTTAGGCTTTGTATTTTGGGAGAACCTTGTATTCAGCAAGAGATCAGCCGCGTTCCTCGGGCTGGACCCGAGAGTGTCCTGTATGGTGTCTGGAACACCATCCTTACATGGCAATTCCCCGTCCAACAGGGCTATATGACACGCCCCCAAGACCGTCATACCAGCCAAGCGGGGCGGAAGGGGTTTTCAGATTTACATACGTACCAGTATCCGTCTGCACAACAACGAGCCAACAAATTTCTGATTGTGCAATGCAAGAGGACTGGTCTAGAAACTCAAGCCTCGACCTGGGGCGGAGGTGTGCAATAACTCGATCAATATCTTTCTGCAACCCACCGCAACCGGCATGTCAACCCAACGCCGGTGTATGGGATAGTTGCGGTGGGCATGTATATGCGTGTATATCTATACGACGACGCAACCCAGAGTGTTGGGAACATTGTTGGTCCCGGGGTTCCCTCTTCAATTTACCCCTTACACCTAAAGAGGGATCGCATTGCTATCCAACAGATACTCGACCATATCAAGGCCAGTCACTGAATACATATCTAGTCATATGTGTGACGATCTGAGGACCTGAGGACCTGCCATGTCTGACCGCATTGGTTCTTTCCTCTGTGGGGTGATGCCTGAAGCGAGCGAGTTGTCCAGCAATTTCATGCGAAGTGTTGAAAACACCGCTGCAGCTTTAACAAAACCTCAGCCCGTACCCCTCGTCGCCGCAATATAACAGCAACAGAGCTGGCAAAGCACCGGGAAGAGCTGAAGAACCTCCGAGAACAGCGCCAGAGATTGATTGCACTAATTGATCTTTTGAAAGTTTGGCTTTCTTATGTTCCCCAACTTTTAATACCAATTAATGCGTAAGCAACAAGGCTTCTTCTTGAGAGGAATTCTGGGATGGCCCGAAGAAATGGCAACACGTCCGCTTGTAGCGCACTGGGGCCGTCCGGATGATGGTGGCTCGTGGCCCGATACCGTAGCATGATATGGAAGGTTCGCTTTTTTCTCTATATGGTCATTAGCTTGTAAGTGGTATGCTCCACATTGAGCTTCAGGTCCCTATCGCTGATGTCCTCTGGGAAGCCCCAAACCCAGCTCTCCGCCCAAAATGTTAGGTTTTGACTTGGACAGTTGGCGCTTTACAATGTAGTTTGCGGTCCAGTAGAGAGGGATGGTACGAGAATGCGAGAAAGTCGAGTGGTTCGGTCGGCTATTGTAGGATATCGCTGAACGCGGGGTGTGAATTGCAAGTTGGGATGGTCGGAGTGAGTTTGTTGGGGGTTCACTGTTGAAATTCTGCAACGGTCAGGGTACTTCCACTGGGAAGATGGTTGTTTCAAGGGAGGGAGAGTCAGTAGAGAGCCCCGAGAGAAAAAGGTCGGTGTGCATGGGCCTTTGATCACAGGGGGAGACTGGTTGTTTCTAAAGCATCAAAGAGCGAGGCACCCTCTTCGATGAGCCTAAAAAAACTCCAACACGGATCAGGGGAAGTAACGCTCGGACTTTGATGACTCTACGAGAGACTTGATCACACTTTGTGACCACGGCCGATTGGAGAGTTCCGGGGTTGTCTGTCATCCCTGGCAGATCCCTTTAGCCATGGAGACTAATAGAGCGTACTCCGTACGGAGCAGAACACTGGCACATCCGTCTTGGTTTGCTGACCAGCCCATATTGCTTCGACATGATAGAGTTTGTTGTCTTAATTCGGGTTGGTGAGAAATATAAAATACACAGGTGGAGATTTGGGAATTTTTGATCGACCTGTCAACTGCGTGTATATACGCCTAGCTCCATAGCGCGGTGCCGATGCCTAAAGAGGCTTGACCTTATGGTTACTCCATACTCCGTACGGAGTATACGGCCTGGGAATTAATCTTAAACATGCATGGCCTTACATTAGCCCAATATACCTACGGACTAGTCCAACTTCTCCGGGATTTGATATACGAGGTTCATAGTCTGTACAAACAGCAGGATGTCGACAATTTCCAAGCGCGAATCTAATTACGATATATCCTACATCCATACAGTAAAGAAAAAAAGCTATATTGACTCATGTCTCAGCCTCATTTGGCATAACGAGATATCCTATCAGCTTAGCGACATGCATTCAAGTATAGATGGCAAAAATGACTCCTAACAACGCTTGGAACATAAACATGTTGTTGGTTGCCTCTCTCGGCAAGATGCCAAATGGAAATATATACCAAGACCAATCGTGGCGGCCGACAATTCGAAAAATGGGCCGAGGCCCGCTGATTCCCGACGACTGTCGGGAGCTGTCCCCTGCGAGCTTGTTTTCGTCCGAGTGGACCGACCCCAGGACTCACTCTCTAGTGCCACAACGTCTTTTGATATGCGCTGAGCGATTTGGGAGTTTTATTCCGAGAAATGGTTGGTAGATGGTCTCGTACCGATTCCCCACCCTTCTGGCGGGACCTACCCCCTTTTAATGATTCCAGTCAGTCCAGCTGCCAAGACATCACGGGTGACCCCGAGTAATTACTCGCTGGGGAGTTCTCCGTCCAAAGGTATGAGTGGCTAAAATCAGTGACCCATCTCCGTGACCATCTCCGTTTCGGAAGTGTCGCCTCTAGTAATTCTCAGTTCGGCCCGGGGCTGTGATTTTGTTTCTCGTCTTCGGTCCAACCTCCGTCAGAATGGCGCTCTGTCAAGCGAGTTGAGATGCATTTAAATTTTGTCTTGGTGTTCGTCTAAACCTAACGCAGCGCACGGCCTAGATCCAGTGGAAATTCCGGGGTACAGTTGATGGGAGATTCGGGCCGAAATTCAATGAAGCGTAATAATCGAAAGAATGGCATATTTCCACCATAATCTAAGAGAAAAGGCTAGAGCAACAGCTAACAAAACAGGTCAAGTCGACCATAAAAAGCTTAGTGGATTGTGGGGGAAGGGGGAGGAACCCGTGAAGCATCCAACACGGAGTGAGCTCCGCGCTGACAATGGCCTCCGTGCAACGTTTCCCACATATTTCCCCCGTGAGACGAAGGAATTGAATATAGAATTCTCTGAAGGTATCATGCGAATGGTCATTTTTAGAACATACGACCTTGTTAGATGGCAAATACATGTCAAGTTAATCAAGCTTGAATAGACTAAACACCTAAATAATACATTTTGCACGTCGCCACACACATTAAGAGGTGTGTCGAGTAAATTAAGCAATCTTGTCAAGGCCATGTGAATATGTACCTAACATTGGTCTAATACCATTGTAGCAAGTATTTGGCCTGGAATTCTAGGCTCGCGAGGCTCCCTCCGTGTGCTTGCATTGAGACTAGCTAGATAAATTGGAAAAGGGGCTTTCTGGCCCCAACTGCTTTGACGTTTCGAACAAGTTTCTAGTTTCTCTAAGCGGGAAACAGGGCCGATCATCCAGGTATCAGACCCTAATTTCTTTCAATGCGTGAATCGAAATTTGGCAAGCATGGTGGGGGATTAATGGTATGATTGGGGAATGTCCCGATTCCAATCAGGACGCGGAGGTATTTGGAAAAGCCACCAACTACAGGCGCCTATTACTGGCGAGAACAGGGGGTGCCGGGGTCACAAGGCAAATGGAGTCTGGGGAACCGGAGACTCGACCCAATTCCTAAAATGGATTATAGTCAATTTTCTTAATTACTCGATCTGACATTTGAATTCCAACATTATTATAAGAACCACATCCCGCCCCGCTGTTCATGAATTTCACGATTCATCGCGCCAGTCCCGTCTATCACTGACCGGATCATCTACCGAGATCGTCGATTCCTATACCGGGATCACATCATGTCGGACGAAAAGAAGGCCCAAGAGGAGGTCTACGGCATCTCCTCTGCCACCGAACACCATACTCAAGTTACCACTGGTCATGGAGATACCAAGCAGCGTCACGGCGCAAAGACCAAGGAGGTCCTTAATGTCAGTGACTTCCCAGATTTTCAATTATCTACGGGCGAAATACTGATCTAGACCGAGCAATACAGGCCGATCTCTTCACTGCCCTTGAGGAGACCAAGATCGAAAGATGGAGCAAGGAATCCATCCACTTGTACTGTGAGTGACAACTTTTCGACTCATGTAGCAATATTCAGGCACTAACATTTGATGCGACCATTACAGTCTGTATCTTCGTCGCCTTCTGCTGCGCTTGTGCCAACGGTTATGATGGTGCGTATTTTCTCAGCCTCGAAAAATGGCATTTACTAACCTAACATAGGATCTCTGATGGGATCTATCCTCGCCATGGACCACTATCAAGCTATTTTCAAGACCGGAATGGACGGCTCCAAGGTCTCCGTTGTTACTTCACTCTACACCGTGTATGCTTGCTTTCTATCCTACGCATAATACGGCGACTGACATGAATTCCTCCCAGTGGCTCTATGGTCTGCACTCCTATCAGTGCTATCATTTCCGATAGACTTGGCCGTCGCAAGTGTATGTTCATTGGCGCATGGGTTATTATCATTGGATCCGTCATTATTACCAGCGCCATGACCCTGGCTCAATTCGTCGTCGGTCGATTCGTTCTCGGTCTCGGCATTCAAGTCATGGTCGTCTCCGCTCCTGCCTACGCTGTCGAAATTTCCCCGCCTCACTGGCGTGGTCGTGCCGGTGGTGAGTATCTTGATCTTGTTGGAAAAGAGAAATTCTGTACAGCAGTCCTAACGCTAGAATAGGCCTCTACAACTGTGGTTGGTTCGGTGGCTCTATCCCTGCCGCCGCTCTCACATACGGTACCGAGATGATTGATAACAACTGGCAGTGGCGCATTCCCTTCATTTGCCAGTGCTTCGCCTGCATCATTGTCATTTGCTCTGTCTGGTTCATCCCCGAGTCACCTCGTTGGCTCATCGCCAACGGCCGCAACGAAGAGGCTGAAGCCTTCCTGGTCAAATATCACGGCAATGGTAACCCCAACGCCCGCTTGGTCCGCCTTGAGATTGAGGAAATGAGGGAAGGTATCCGAATTGACGGTATTGACAAGAGATGGTGGGATTGTAAGTTTTGTACTTTCGAGATATTCAGTATCATTTATCGCAACAGCAACTGACCAAGGTTTCCAACTCCCTAGACCGCCCATTCGTCACGACCAAGAGTGGACGCTGGCGTTTCGCCCAGGTCATCATGATTTCCGTCTTCGGACAGTGGTCCGGAAACGGTCTCGGTTACTTCAACGCTACTATCTTCAAGGTTATTGGATACGAGTCCAGCTCCACCCAGCTGTTGCTTAACCTCGTCAACTCTATTGTCTCAGCTGTGGGTGCATTGACCGCCGTGTACTTCTGCGACAGAATGCGCCGTCGCCCTGTTCTCATCTTCGGTACTCTTGGTGAGTCTCATCTTTCCCCCTAGCTTCATCAAGACCAACTTGACTAACCAACATATAGCCTGTGCTATTACCCTTGCTATCAACGCCGGTATCCTGCAAGAAGTCGCCAATACCGGTTCCATCGGCAAGAATAAGGGCCAGGCAGCTCTCGCTTTCTACTACCTTTTCAATGTGGTCTTCTCGTTCACCTATACTCCCCTTCAGGGTGTCATTCCCGCTGAGGCCCTAGAGACCACAACTCGCTCCAAGGGTTTGGCTCTGTCTGGCTTCATGGTGTCCAGCATCAGTTTCATCAGTCAGTTCGCTACGCCCATTGGTCTTGCCAACATTTCCACCAACTACTTCTGGATCTTCGTCGGCTGGGACTTTGTCGAGTCCGCCTTCTGGTACTTCTTCTGGTATGTTTCCACCGACTCCTATTGAAATTATCTCATATGTCAGATCTATCTCATGCTAACCATTGCTACTACAGTGTCGAATCCCAGGGCCGTACTCTGGAACAGTTGGAGTGGGTTTACCAGCAGCCCAACCCTGTCAAGGCTTCCCTCAATGTGCACAAGGTTCTTGTTCAAGAGGATGGTACCGTTACCGAGAAAATCACGGACGACGATGCTTGAATCAGGCTTCGCTTATTGTGATCTTTTGGCATGTCGCACCTGTTGGTTAGACATGTTGCAGTGGAAAAGGGGGAGGTTCTATGAGGTTGGCTAAGTTGTATAAATATTCACTTTCGGCCTTGCGCAGGAAGGGGGATTTGGAAAGTTGTCTAATACCAGTTGTTAATATGTTTCTCAAGCAATATAATCAGATACGAATGGAATACTTGTCCATCTCGAACTTGTGCAATAAGTCTGGTAAAACGCCTGTTTACTATTTTAAAGTCCTCCGTGTCCCACCCAGTGGGTGTGTGGGGCTATTCTTAGCGGCCCGGACGGGTAGCCCCGTAAAACAAGAATACATACGGAGGTGACTCGGTAAACCTGGAAAAGATGTATAATTCAAGCTCATCTGATGGGCGGCAGGCTCCAACACATCTAGCATTAAAAGAAGCGGAAGTTTACCCCACGAAACAAGTTTCATGCTTTTTTCCATGTTGTAAACAAGACTTCTGCGCCTTCTAATTTGCCGTTGTTTTTGATTTATAGCTTGCTTATTTAATACGCCCTTGCGTTCCATTGGTCAGCCCAGCATTTCCGACCACTTAAAAGCCTGGAAGTCTCGAACTGGCATTAAGATTCGTTTCAAAATAATTTATGAATATCCTTTTGGGCATATCAGTGGGGTGACTTTAGGGCATTCGACTTTGGCTGTTAGAAACGTTTAATTTAATGGGAAATTGAACAGGTAAACATACTTCGCGCTGTTCACATCTGCCAAGCCAAACTGCCTTGGGCAACCTGATTTATATATATGTACTGAAGGAGGCCATAACAACAACCCACAATCATCCACGACCTAAGAAATTGTTACTGGGACCTCTCAATTAGACACAACTCTGCCCAAGATTGAGGAAAAAGAAGGGAACGAAAGCGAAAGAGAAGTAGATTGCTAAATTAGACAAATTCCGTTAAAATGCAGCCAATCCCAGGAACAGCACACTGAACACAAGGTAGCCCTCAGTTTTCGACAGAAGGGTCGTTGCCCCATTACTTGGAATGGAGGACGGCGAGAAAGTAGGATCGCCGTTGGCCTTTGTGGATGTCCCCGTGGCTGTGGCGTTGCTTGCTAACAGCATCGCATTGACTTGGACCCATAGATCACATCCGGTGTAGTCGATTGTACCAGTCACAGTTGAATTTTCAAAGATCAAGCCGGTAGTAGAAAGATTCCTCCCTTGGGTCTGGAATTGCGGCCATTTAATCTCCTCAGTTGATGGCTCAGCATTTTCTGCCATTGCAGTCCACAAGTCCATCATCTGGTCGCCGAGATGCCATTCAGCCGATGTAGAATTGCAAGTCCCATTGGGAAGATATGAATTGTCCAAATTACCGAACACAAAGGGAATTTCAGCACTGTGAGCGCCACCGAACAAACCGACATTACTATTATCAATTGCGAACAGCCATGGACATGTAGGACTGTGCGAAAATGTGTATGTCCATGCGGCAATATTATTGCGAGCGGCCTGTGCTGCACCGTACCATGCCGAGCATCTATAACTGGAATCGGTTATGATCTGTGTCATAGCCAAAAGTATTTCGAGCGAGGTTGTGTTGTAGCCAAGCCGAGCAAACTGACTGGAAGCTGCGATGATGGCTTTGGCCTCCGATTCGAATAATGATGGCGAATAGACTTTTCCAACAAGTGAGGCGGCATTGCCGAAATTGCTGCGAAGGAACTCTTTGTATACTGATGTCGTTGGATTTTGCTGGTATTTGGCGGCCCATTGTAAAGTATAAACGATGGCCTCATTGGAATCTGTAGATTGCCTGGTTAACGAGATTTTATGGCGTAGAGCACATATAATCATGTACATACTGGATCCAAAGATAGCTGGGACTTGTACTCCGCGAGTATAGGGGTCTTCATCGATGACATCTCCGTCAACATAGGGATAAAAATTATGAGTCCCCTGACTCAGGACACTGAGAGATCCACCCCCGTAGTATCCAATCCCCTGGGTTAAGAAAGTATCCGCTGGATACGCGGTAAATAAGTCGGAAACCGTCTTAGACTGAAGACACGCTTTCTGTAAGGATGTCAGTGTCCGCCATCTAAATCGCAATTGAAAAACCCGTGAACTTACGTCACTAGAGCTACATTTTAGAGTTTGAGCGAATGATGCGCCCACCTTTTGCTGGGTTGAATTTGAAACTAGCCTCCTCCCACCCCCCGATTCCGAGATGATACTCTTGATCAAAGAAGGCGCTTGGGGAAGAGAACCGATGATGTATACATTCTCAGCACCGGCTGATTGGCCGAATAGAAGTACCTTTTTCTAGATTAGAACACATATTTTAGCTTTGATCTCTCGAATTTTGATCATGGCTTGATGCAAATTATCATACCGGGTCTCCACTAAAGGCCGCGATATTGTCGCGAACCCACTCTAGTCCCACAAGGAGGTCTTGAATTCCCTGGTTACCGTGGATCCCGGCAGTCTCAAGGGCCATAAATCCAAGAGGACCAATTCTATAGTTGATTGAGACAAGAATTGAACCTGCCTCTGCAGTGTTGCAGCCATCATATAAAGGATCCGAGATAGAGCCCTCTGTTTCCGAGCCACCGTAGACCCAAACCTTGACTGGGAGCTTCGAGTCCTTGGTGGCATTGGACGGTGCCCAAATGTCCAAGTAAAGACTGTAAAATTGGTGTGTTAGTAGGATGAGATATCTGAGAGGTCCGAGGCACGATTTTACGACTTACCAGTCTTCAGATGAAAGTGCAGATGTATTCAGCTTTTGCGGGGTAAAGTCATCCGAGAATTGAATGCAGGTTGGGGCCGAAGTAATTGCATTCAATTTGCCGTGAGAGAATTTCTTCGTGTAGGCTTTTGGGGGTTCGAAGCGTAGTGCTTTGATAGGTGGCTCAGCGAAGGGGATTGCCTTGTAAAATACTGCATTTTGACCATCTTTACATCTTCCACCTTGAACTGTGCCAGCATCAATTGTGACAGAAGGCGAGGATGATACTGCGGCCGCAAAAGCTGGCAGAAGAGCCGTCAAAGGCAGTTTCATGGTTGGGATGAACGAATGGAGGTGAAAAACAAAAATGGCACTGCGAGGTCTTCGGCTCTTTATACTAGTCCAGACTTCATTGAGTTTCAGTAATATCTCCTTATTCCAACAAAACATAAACTTTCAGGCATCACAATAATGCATTTATAGCAGATATTGCGAGCCAATAAGCCTCAGGAAGCTTAGTTCTTTCATGCGTCAGATTGGCCACTAACCATGCAGAATCCACAGAGTCAGCCACAAAACGTGGCTATGGCTGAGTTTAGTAGCGAGCCCGTGACTTTAGAGCCAGAAGCGGACCCGGGGGCCTTTGGGTGATGCATGCGAGTTCCCATCTGACTGGCCCTCGCAACTGTGTCCATTTTGGGTTTAACACACACCGTCAGCTCAGTTGGTGATATTACCAGGTCGAATATTCCACTTATTGTATATTATTTCTTGCGCTGTTTGCTTCGACTACATATTCTCCGATATGAGTACCCTTCATATATCCTAACTATAGGATGTGAATGCCACTAAAGCCTCAAGCTTTGGCGGAAAAGTCCAAGCTTTTTGAAAAGAGCTTAGTTACCTCCAGAACACTGCTTATGGACGCGCAGAGCCACTCTTTCTCCTATTCGGGTTAGCTGTTTAATCTCAGCCTGTCGTGGGGGCTAAGCTTCTTATTTTCACCACCTCGACTTTCCCATCATTCTTGATTCCTTAAATTTTTTAATACGGACTGCGTCATCATAGTTTTTAGCATTTCATTGAATCTATTCATTCCACTGAGAGAGTTGACACCATGGTATATGGTGGTAAACCTAGTAAAGGTTGTGGGAATTGCCGCTCGCGCAAGATCAGATGTGACCAGGCCCGACCGGTCTGCTGGCAATGTACTCGAACCAACCGGAAATGCCTTGGGTATCGCGATGAGCTTTCGCTAATGTTCCGCGATGAGACTGAATCTGTCGCGCGGAAGGCGCGTTCTTCTCAGTCTTCTGCGGCTTCTACCCCATCTTCATCTAGATCCCGAATGGCGTCCCGATCGCCTCGTTCCGTTTTCCCGGGACGAATTTACCCATCCTCCGTGACAACTAAACATGTATCTACAGGCTTTGGTTTCCATTCCGATCCTGAGCACACATTTTGTATGCACCAGGCTAGACAAAGTCCCGTTGAGACACACCCCAACACGACAATTTCAAAGCAGGAGGCTGTTTGCTTTTTCCTCCAGTCCCACGCCAGTTCCGGCAGTTTTCTAGCAACCGACATTTTGACAAAATTTCTCACGGATTCTAGTGAGTCACTAGGTCAACGGGCTATACAATGCAGCATCGACGCGGTTGCCAGCGCCATGTTCTCGCGTGTTCGAAGAGTCGCATCACTAAAACACACCGCACTTCAAGAATATGGATCTGCGCTGAAGTTAGTCAATCAGGCGCTCGCAAATCCCGACGAGGCTAAGACGGACCAGACGCTTGGTGCGGTTGTTCTTTTATCATTATATGAAGTAAGCACCCCCATCCAACCGCAAGAAAATAACCTAAATACCGTAGATCATCATGTCAAGAGCTCCGCAGGGCATCGAGGGCTGGATGAATCATATTTGTGGAGCGGCAGCTCTACTACAACACCGGGGGGCTGCACAATTGCAAAGTGACGTAGGAATCCGGCTTTTTCTGCATGTGAGATATCAGATCGTGCGTGAGAAAGAATTCCTAGAACCATGAAGGAGACGCTAAGTCATACACAGATCATCAGTTGTCTCCAGCGCGATGTGCATGTACCCAGCTCGCTACTGGAATGTGTAACACTCGATATAACCCCCGCAAGAAATTATGCCCTTGGCACTGAAATCATCTTAATTATCGGCAATTTGTCGAATCTGCGTGCAAGTATTCATGCGCAAGCCTTGAATGATCCCCAAGAGATCATCAGTGCGGCTTGTGCCATCGAAGCAGACCTTCTTGCCTGGTTAGCCGCTCTGCCACCTGACTTTACGTATACTAGCTATGCAATCATGCCATTGGACCGTTCTTTCGAACGCCGCTGTCACGGAATTCGACCCTACAACGATGAATACCACATCTATCCAGACATTTGGGCTGCTAATTGCTGGAAGCACTATCGTTGCGCACGCATTCTTGTCAGTGAACTTATATTATCCCAAGTCCACAAGCTATCCAACCGCTCGCCTACCTCCGTATCCGACGACTTTCGTTTATACTGCATGTCTCTACGGTCGACCATCCGTCGCCTAGGTGCCGACATCTGCCGCAGTGTCCCATTTTACCTGGGCGCGTGCAACTCGAAGGTGCTCCCAGATGCGCCTATACTCCCACCAGAGAGCTACCTGGGTGGCCTTATGATGCTCTGGCCCTTAGTCATTGCCGGCATGGTCGAGGGACCGACTGATCCACAGCGGCGGTGGGTAATACAGTGTCTCCAGACGATAGGGAACACGTGGGGACTGGCACAAGCCCTAGCATTGATGGATCTTCTCATCGTGGACCCGGGAATGTTCCATTCTGTGGAAATATATGGCGAAGCCGCTGATACGGCAGCTGGATTGCTGGAAGTACTTCCGTTCTCCATCTACCATGTGTCGTATCATGATCTTCCTGCGTTGAGGGAGTATCGAGAGCTCCAGGCATCTTCGGCCTAAAGATTTGGCCCTCGCAGTCCGTTAGATTGATTCGTAGTTATTACATCCATTCTAGTTTTCCCCTTTCGTGCTGCATAATGGGAACCGGGCACTTCTTTTGACGCGGAACCGGAACGGACTGTTCCGAGTCGGGTTCTGCATCCTGGGCCGAAAGTGCGATGACACACTCAATGTCACGATCTTTTGATGGTTATCACACGAAATATTGAAGGTTTTATGTTAAAAAGTCGTGATCCCACGCTGCTGGCGCCAAGAACAAGAGCAAATTCATCTGGTTTTGCTTGGACCAGTGTGAGGCACCGCAGAGCTGTCGGAACCAGGAATACGTGGGAAGATTGTCTCCTGCCCGATACTGTTGAATATATGAGACGAATCAATGCAGGAATCTTTGATTTTGACGAGCGTGTGGCCAGGGGTGATTGGAAATCCATAAGTGTAAGAATTGGGAGATAAGCCTCGAGTTTGAAAGTTGCAAAGCCTTTGCGAGATGAATCTAGTGAAGATATTTTCGCTTTCACAGAGGGACAAGAAAAGTTATTATTCAGCGACCAGAGTTCGGTTGGTCACTGAGGCTCCAAAGGTAGAAATTGCTTAACTGCCTACCTTATTTATTTTTGGATAACTTAGCGCAATACTGCTGGGGTGAATTTTGCCTGATGGCGTAATCCCGATCTCCTATCTCCGAACCCGTGCGGGTCCACCTCTACCGTTCAGCAGATTTTTGCAAACCTTCAACACCTTGATCTCTCTATACAGCTAGACCTTGCGTGCAAAGATGTCTGACGAGGGAGGAGAATTCCACAAAGAATCTTCAAATGAGCCACCTGGCTATGATCCTGATGCTGAACATTCGAATTCCCACCAAGGAGGTCTCGCTCGAGCGATCACCAACCAATCAGCGATGGAAATACCAAAAAGCTTCTTGCATGAGGTCATATTCATCGCAGTGGTGTGTGCTGCCCAATTCATGACACAGTCTGGCCTTGCCATTGCTATTGTTCCCCTTCATATCATCGGTGACAGCTTCCATGTCACCAATCCCGGCCAATTAAGTTGGTACGCAGCCGCGTACAGCCTAACGGTTGGTACCTTCATTCTGGTTGCAGGAAGGCTAGGGGACCTTTATGGGCATAAACTCATGTTTATCGGTGGTTTCGCTTGGTTTGGACTATGGTCTATCCTTGGAGGGTTCTCGGTATGGTCGAACCAAATATTTTTCGATATTTGCCGCGCATTTCAAGGAATTGGACCGGCGTTTCTGCTACCAAACGCCCTGGCTATTCTGGGACGCACATACCCAGCTGGCCCTCGAAAGGATATGGCGTTTAGTATCTTCGGCGCGACAGCACCAGGAGGATTTATCGTTGGAGGTGCTTTCTCGGCTCTACTAGCAGAGCGTGCCTGGTGGCCATGGGGATATTGGATCATGGGAATCGTTTGCATAGCATTCTCAGTCCTCGGATTCTTCGCTATCCCCGATTCGCAGCCCCCCAAAGTATCGGTTCAAATCCCATGGTGGGTCAAATGTGATCTACTAGGGGGCTCCCTCGGTGTCGCCGCCCTTATTCTGATTAATTTCTCCTGGAATCAGGGACCAACTGTCGGCTGGCCGACCGTCTATGTCTACGTTCTTTTGATCGTCGGTTTCCTATGCCTAGCCCTATTTTTGTGGGTCGAGTTCCACGCAACATGTCCCTTACTGCCTCGGGATGTTTTCACCGAGGAGGTTGCGTGGGTACTAGGTTGTATCGCTGCTGGCTGGTCCAGCTTTGGAGTTGTGGTTTTCTATTTCTTCCAATTTATGGAAGTCATCAAGGGTGATGCACCCCTTTTGGCGCTGGCGAAGTTCGCACCGGCGGCTGTGTCTGGTGCAATCGCTGCAGTGACAACTGGCTTTATTCTGGCCCGAGTACCTCCCAGTGCGATCATGTTGGCGGCTATGCTTGCATTTACAGGTGGCCAAATCCTCCTGGCCACACTGCCTGTTCACCAAACATACTGGGCCCAAGCATTTGTCCTTTCTATCTTGACCCCGTGGGGCATGTAAGTATATAGTTCCCCCATGCTCTACTGAGTACATAGCTGTGTCTACAATGAGCTAATATTCTATCAGGGACATGTCCTTTCCATCCGGGACAATTATCCTCAGCAATAACATGGCACGGGAGCATCAAGGACTTGCTGCCTCACTCGTCAACACGATTGTGAACTACTCTATCTCGATTGGGCTTGGGCTTGCTGGGACTGTCGAAACCCAAGTTAACCGCGGTGGTACGGACACATTCCGAGGTTATCGCGGTGCAAGCTACATGGGCATTGGCCTTGCTGGTCTGGGGGTTGGCATCGCGACAATGTTTGTCATTCGAACCATAACCAAACGCGACAAGACCAACTCTGCAACCCCAGCGGATATCTCGAATATGGAAGATGGTTCATGAGGTATCAACATGACGATTGTATATAGATGTATGTAATATTAGATATCAGATTATTTGCACATAAATGGGTGGTGAGGCCAACGGAAATTGCACTCCATGGCCTGAATATCCAGATCAGTCGAGGGCGGTCGAGTCCAAATTGAACCTGAGCTGTTTGTGCCATTGAGACCAACGGTATAATGCATAATTTATGAACTGGCCTTCCGCTTCTCAATATTACCTAAGGTCTGTGGAGATTGCCAAGCTACCGAACTGTAATTAGCATAGACCTGAGGAATTGATCGCTCAGTTGCCGATGGACTGTGATCTCCACGAATGAGGCAACTTGATCGCCATTCCATTTCGATACGGAACAATTGATCAATTCGTCCGATGCACATGGAACGATCGTTGCATTGGAATGAGAAATATCTTCCTGAGGTGCGACCAAGCGCATGGAACTATTCGCTTGGTACCTGCCGATTTTGCAGCTTGAAGTAGCCTTTTTTGCTGCATTACGTCGCCGGGTCCAATGGCAGTGATAGGAACATCAATACCAGACAGTGCAGACATAATATCGCTCGACTCTACGAGATCTATGCCCCAAGTCTTGATGCCTTGCTCTTGGATGTTTTGGACAGATGGTTTATTCATGGAAGCTGGTCGCACCAATACTTCAATATTCCACGAGAGGAAGAGAAATAGGGCCAGTCATCCGAAATTGTTCTAGACAGTTATTGCAACTCACGAAATTACCAGATTTCTGTAGACCCTTCAGTATGGAAGTGGCAGTCTCGCCGGTGGCTCCAAGGAGGAGTACTTTCTGTTTGACGGCTATTTCACACCTTGGACTTTTAGATCTTGAGAGTAAAAAGAAAGCATTTACTAAAATGATACGCTTTTTAACCGCCCTGATGAATAGACCGAAGCATTCATCATCCCGTGAGTTGCCCTTAAATCCAGGATTAATTCCGTGTCAAAATGATGATATACCCTGTTAGGCAGTTAGCCTCAGGAGCACATACCCCAAGGCTTGACATCCAGGGTAACCGGTAACCATACTCGACGGTAAGGTTGGTGTCAAATTTCATAGTCTCCAGAACGCAGCTTTCTCAACTCTTTAATTAATCATATCTCACATTGCACCTTGCGCTTCTACGTAGTCCCTTCTGACAGTTGGCCTTTTATTCCTCTGGGTCCTTATTTCGCTCAGCAATAATGGCGGTGTACTCCTTGGAGTCAAAACAGAAAATAATCCTCTCCTCTTCATACTTAGACTTGTCCATGGTGGTGAGGAATATTAAGAATAAATTTTGGAAATAGTATTCCAGCATATCTAGGAAGGAAAATTATCCTGCTGCATGACAAACTCAGCGCACCGCTCCCCAATCATATAAATGGACCCCGAAATCGAGGCACCCCCACATCGGGGAAGCACACTTGCGTCTGCAATTCGCAAGTTGCGCACTCCAAATACCTTCAGGCTCTGATCCACTACACCCTCCTCCTTTGTAAGACTCATCCGGCACGTGCCAGCAGGATCATAGCTTCCTGTCACCAGCCTCTTTATATACTCATCGATTTCCGTATCAGTCACAATTCTCCAAGCGTCCCTCTGTGGTGGCAACGCCTTTGTAAGCCTTTTCTTGTCACTCTTGCTCTTGTTCTTGTCCATAAGACCATCTAAGTATTCCAAACCCATCCCGGGAGCCATAGTCAATGGTGCTGGGTATGGATACCCAACCTCCGGCCCCGCAAACTCGTCCGCCAACCGCATAGCGAAGCGCACCGCCTTCCGCAGCCGCGCGCTGTCGCGGGCGTCGATCAGCAATGGGAGCGTAATCTTGAGGGGCGCTGTCACATCAGCGCTAGATGAAAGCTCGACGCTGCCTGTAGTGTGAGGCTGCACAAGAGCCGCGTACCATGTCATGCAGGGTACTCCGGGGACACCGTGCTCGATCAGTGTGCTAAGTGGGGCAATCAATATTTCGAGGTCTGTCACTTCCTTATCGCCGTCTTCGGGTGGGACTACTGTCATTGTTGTCTCGTTGAGTGAATCCGAGTGCAAAAACGCGGCGCCCCATTGACCGTTAGATGCAAGTACTCCAGTGCCGAGGAATAGCCATAGCAAAAACTGCCATAAGATAGCCACCGTCTGAATAATATGCAGCGTGTGCTTGAGTGGGAGCTCTGTCATGACTGGTACAAGGATGTGGGTGGTCAAATGCGCACCCACTGCAGGGAGATCATGCACCACAGGAATTTTATGAGCGGATAAATGTTCTTTGGTGCCGATGCCACTGTACCTGGTTAGCATGACGAAGTGAGCCTCTCTAGAAAGTGCGACCAACCTTTTCATTAGCAGCTGGGGCGTGCCGAATACGCCGCTACAAAGAATTACCTCCTGATGAGCTTCGACCAAAATGTCTGCAACCCCTCCAGAATTAATCCATACGCCTGTAACCGTCGTTCCGTCATCCGAAAACTCGAGCTTGGTCGCTGTCACGCCTGTACAAACCGTCAGTCGCCCCTTCCTCTCATTCACAACCGAGTTATTTAGCCACGCGGTCAACGCTGAGACTCTGTGCCCATCTGCATCAACCGAGACCTCGCTGCGGGTATATCTCTGGGTGCCTCGTTTCCCCCCTCCATCACCCAGTCCTACTCTTTCCATCGCCAGATCTACATACGGCATAAACCCAAGATCGCCCGCCCCTTTGCGTTGAATCGCCTTCTCGACCCGCTCAAAAGCTGGCGCTACCTTCTCCCAGCTCCATTCATCCAACCCCAGCTCACGCGCCCAGCCGTCGAATTCGGGGCGACCGCCGGGACTCCATATCATGGAGTGGGCGCGACTGGTACCACCCAGCATTTCGCCAGCTAGAAGTTGCACATGCCGCCCGCGGAAGTGTGCGTTGGGTTCGGCATGGTAGCGGACGACCCCGCTCTGCAGGATGCCAAGTAGTGGGATCCGCGAGAGAATCCCAGCGTTGACGCGACCCTTGTCCAAAACTAGAACTGAGACGTTTGGGGAGGCGGAAAGGCGGTGCGCAATCAGGCATCCAGCTGTACCGCCTAAGCAATGATTTTGGGTTAGTTGGTTTGATGGCTTTTGCTCAGGGGGGAGTGAGACGCACCACCGACAATGATGTAGTCGAACGTCTTTCCAGCTATATCACCAGCTGTATTCTCTGGGTATGTTGAAAACGGCCACATTGTATCTTGGATTCACCCCTTGAGCAAAGCTTTAGATTTTGTGTTGTCAATGAGGTTGGCTTGAGGGCGGTGATGCCAATCTGTTGCCGATGGGATTACTGCCCGCTTTTGATCGTCTTATATTGGATCTCAATCAAACAGAATGCGTGAGCACATAAATAGAAATGCAAAGCCATCTCGATGTACTGGATTTTCGGTTGTCGCAATTCTCCTTTGTGAGGGTGCTCAGGGCGGGTCACTGAACATGGCCGGGGATGTATTTCACAGCACAGAGTGGGACATTTCAGTATTAAGAAGATCCCTACTTAAGTTCACAAACGGCCCCCAAACCGTCTATTGCGCAAAAGATCACAGGTCACGTCGAAGGGCGCGTCAGAAGGAGAAGCCAAGATCCCAACCAGGAAGAATGGCAAGTGGCGTTAAAGAATGTCCAAGTTACGGAACTACTATCCATTCGACAAAATCGGCAATGGACAAAGTCCTGGATACAGCAGAAATTCTGGAGATGATTCTGGCTCGGGTGGATATGCGCACGCTTCTCACTTCTGTTCAACGAGTCTGTCACAACTGGGTGAACCTGATTAGCAAGTCCCCGTCAATCCAAAAGGCCCTTTTTTTCACTCCAATCAAGGATTCCGAATGGGGGGTGAAAGAAACGATACTCAACCCGCTCTTAGCGGAGACTTTTCCTTCTATCTTTCCTGCTAAGAACCGACTGGATTACTACAAGTTCGACTTTTCCGACCTGATCATGACCAAAAACGGCTCAACTATGGCTCACTTTGTACGAGAGAACGCAAGCTGGCGCAAGATGCTAGTCCAACAACCTCCCATCTCGGATATTGGACTTCTCTATGTTTCTCAGGGAATGATGGGTGATTGTGCCGGAAGCTCTAGTATCTCGGTTAGTTTCCAACCCACACCATAGTCTGATTTCGTGGCTCCGGGTTGCTAATATGCTATATGTAGCTGGATAAAAAAAAGCAAGAATCCGGATATGATGGTATTCGGATGGAAAGGCTCTTCGAGCTGTTGCTTACGCTTCATTTCTCAGAGTTTACCAAAGTACGGGTGTATTGGTCTACTGAAGTGCCGGTAATATTTCAAGGGAGCTTTCAGAAGAATATCTGTAATGAGTTCGATCGGATCATAAGCAAGTTTGGCTTGGTTGTTTATACAGGCTCGGTGGTTCAGTGTTCTTGGAACGACAGCCCCCCAACTACTGCGGAACTGACCCAGAAGGAGATTATCACGGCATATGGAGAACATGGTTTGGATTTTGACGAAAGAAGAAAGTACATCCTAGAATCGAAGAGTGAGGCCACTGCATTTCAAGAAGAGCGAGCAGAATATTTGTCTTATAGTCCTTCGGCACGTTTATCGTGGGACGGAGAAGTTGATTTCAATATAACAAGTCCGACAAGTCCGGGTGGATTTTCTTTGGAATCGGAGGACCGGGCCCAAGTTTAATATTGGACATGAACGCTCTGCTCAACTCCACATACGGTCCTCCAGATTATCCAGCGAAGATTAACCCTCACTCCAGAAGCATGCTATAAGACACAACTCTTCACTTTGCACTTCATTCTATGATAGAAGGATATTTCTATGTCAACATTCATTCCCTCGTTCCTGTCGGGCTTCGGCCGATCGCCGTAAATATGCCCGATAGACTATCACATCAAATGTGACGAGTACATCCTAGCATCAAAGAGCCATGCGGCGAAAACCTCACATGTAGGATTCAGGTTAATCGAACCTGCTGATAGCTGACCCCTGTATATAGATAGCTCAAGGTTTGAGCCCCCGATGTGATCAACTGCCTATGTTGCCAGGGTAGGAACAGATCAGATGGTTAAAGTTCGGTGAGATGTCATTTAACATAGAAAATAGTGACCAGGACCTGAAACTAGTGGCTAACATGTGGGCTTCCTGGAGTATTTCCTCATAGAGACCGGATTAACATCGTAGCTTATACTTGAGAGCTTCATCCTCCTTCGAGTGCTCCGAGAAGTTTCTTTTGATTTGTAAGTCATCCAGTATCGGTTGAAGATATTCAAAGTCATGCTTTCTCTTCGAATCTCACCCACGTTTATTGGCCTCGCAGCTTCGGCTTCGGGCTTGAGCTTAAGATGCTCCGGTATCCCCTCCTTCAAATTCGAGTGGACAGCTCTCTGTGGCTCCAGTTGGTGTATCGTGAGTCTTGATTCAAGTTACAGATGGATATACCGATATACTTACTCATTCTGAAGTCTGGAGTTCTTTCCATTCCCTGAATACATTGGAGATGTCGAATAGACTGTAACACGTCTCCAGAACTTGAAGGATCTAACAGGAACATGGCCCTCTACGAGGATTGGAGGCACGACCCAGTATTTTTGCATGACATGTGCACGGAGGCCGAATCTCCACCTATAGGTGCCACCTGTGAGCCTCACCGGGGATTCTCTAGTTAGGGCTGGTGGGAGTTTCTGTTCTAGAGGCCCTTGCATTCAATTCAATAGCAATATTTCCATCCGATTATTCACTGTGTAATAAACGGGTAGTAAAATAAGAATCGCCCAAAAAACCACATATTGTCCAAGTAATTCCTCAGGGTTGCAATAACCAGGGACAACAACATCTTACACCTACGGATACATGCCTCAACTCCGAGACCATAAGGAGCTCCTCCAAAGCTTATCTCATCAAAGTCTCGCAGGGAGGGGAAGACAGTGGTTTTTTGCAAAGAAGATTGTCCAATCGCTGGCCTCGTTCGCACTGTCGCATGCTCTGATTGACTTTACAACGGATGGCGTTGACTCGGGCATGGGAATAGAGTGCGGACGCAAATTCCACAGTGGAATATTGCCATTGAGCGTCTTCATCTTGTAGGCGAACGGTGTAACTGCAGGGCCGGGGGTTGTAGGAGTAATTCGCTCGCTGATCTATGAAAGAATGTCCGTTCAGTCCAGGAGGGCTTTGATCCCGAGCCTGGCTTACATGAAGACATCGTAAGCCAATCCGGTCGGGAACTATATGCTTGCATTCACACAAGCCGTGGAATTCCTGGAAGAAGCAAGATCTACAACCTCCTTGCCCTCGGTGTTTCCAATAACCGTCAAACCTGGAAGAGCCGTCCGCGCAAAGGGAATTGCGCTTTTGAAGCCGCGAAGTACCGGGCAATCACAAATCGAATGTCATTATCTCCCGCTCTGAAATGCAATACTGATTTCGTCGGCCCCGACGACAAACTAATGTTCCGAGTGATGTGAACTATCTTTCCAGCTGTGTTCGCATATGAACAGTCGGTCCAGTTTGGAACCCAGATCCAGTTCGTCTGGAGCTCGTTGATTGTTTTTAGTCACATTATATCAATCGTTAATTCTGGGCATACAGCTGGTGATAGAAGTGATACCTTATGCTATTCTAGTGAGATCATATTCGCGCGCTGAGCTGTGGCTTCTGTCCATCTTTCGAGTTCCAAGTTTGTATAACTTCCGGTGGAGGAGGAGCCGGGATATTTAAATGAATGATCCGCTTTCAGACATCGATCTTCAGAGAATAGGCTTGGTCATGTCATATATTTTTTAAATTCGATTTGTGCCTCAAGTATCGATTCCTCTATACTTGCCTCGTAATTACTCCTCATTGAAAATGCAGGTTTTTTAAAATGAAAAAATGGATGTCAGCCTAGCGAATCGCTCAGCCCGTCACTTCAGAGGCATGGCCATGGAATATCATTCCAAAATAGTAGATGACAAGACTGCAGGGACTTAGGATCTCTTGGAGTGGCCGTGCCATGAATGCAGTCCTCGAAAATTTATAAATATTCAATAGGTACAGTATTTTTGGAGTTCTGGGCACTTCCTCTACTTTGCGTTGTCTCCTCGGTTCCTAACGCTTATAGGCACGGACAGCATGTGGCCCATCTTCTCGACCTTAGCCTTGATATACTTGTCGAGATCGACACCCCGCGCCGCGCTGGCACCAATCATAGTAGCACCAGACTCGCGATCACTGTGGAGCGCACTGTGCTTGGAGTGGTCATGGTCACATCGCCAACTGCGGGGGGACCATCTCGACGCGGTCGAGGATGTTGATGCCCGCAGCGGACATCGCTTGCAATTTCGCCGGATTATTAGTCAGGAGACGAATGCCCGTTCTAGGGTTTAGGGTACTTCCGGGGGGCTCAATCAGACCCAAGTCGCGCAAGATGGCCGCATCGACCTCATAGGTGCATTCGTCAGCACCATGTCCGAGTTCCAGGTTCGCCGAAAGCGTGTCGTGCCCCATGTCTTGGAGATTGTATGCGCGCAGCTTGGATGCGAGGCCAATTCCCCGGCCTTCTTGGCGCAGGTAGATGACTGCTCCACGACCGGGGATGGTCTGCGAGACACCTGGAGCCGTGGAAATAGTAATTGGCTGGGCGATCTGCCGCATGGCTTCGTCGAGCTGCTAGCCACAATCGCAGCGCATGCTGCCAATTGTCTCACCAGTGTAGCATTCCGAATGAATGTGCACGAGTGGAGGAGGAAGAGTGGAGGCGGAGGCCATCAATCTGGAGGCGTCTGATGGTGGATCAGAGGGCGTCCGCACATCCTCGGCGAGGCGACCGGTGTATGCACCGCGGATGAGTCGGTCCATGGTCGTCTCTTCGTCCCATACCGAGTCCAAGGAGGCGCTGCGGACGGGGGGAGCAACCATGGGTCCAGCAGAGAGCTGGGCAGGGTCCATGACTATGGCCAGGTGCTCCTTCGCATCACGGTTGTTGTGATAAAGGTGGAGGAAGGCAGGGCCATGTACTGTGGGGATACGGGCACGCGCGACACACTTGACGCAGACATCGAGTTCTGTTGTACAACCTTGCGCACTGCATCGTTGATACCACCCAGGACAAGCACCGGCTCGTCAGCGTACTTGTGCGAAAGCGAGCGGAGTACGGTGTGTGACTGAACCATCTGACTTGGATATACCTGAAAGACAATTAACATGCGGGCTAACGGAGTGCGAGAATGACGCTCACTGGAACGCCCAGCTCTGCGCTCAATCTCGCAACACGGTCCACTTCGGTCGAACCTCCTCCATTTGTCATCTGCCACTAGTTTTAGGAAATGCAAATCAAAAGACGATACGACCGCACCATGATGTATGGGATTTTCCTGCCGCGCTGCTCAGCATTTGTTCACGCTTCATATGGCTTATGACTTACATTCCCTGCTTATTCTCACCGTTCAGTATTGCAAGAGCACGCTTTGCCGCCGGAAGTACGGAGGGTTCATGGATGAGCACGCCATCCTATTCGTGATCAGTAATGTTCAGTAAAACAGCGGAATTAGTCGCGCACGATGTCGAAGGCAAAAGCTAGTGGTGACCTACGTCGCTGAGCTACAAGCTAGAGTGAGCACGGCGATGCAAGCAAGATTCGGCTTTGCCGGCTTACTATGTATCAGACGACGACCAATGTTGTTACTCATCGATTTTAGACGCATGGTCATAGGAAGGGACAAGATGGGGTCCTAAGCTGCGTTGGATTGGGATTTGAGGACGGCGCGTCCCGTTTTATATGTGCGTTACAGTGCTAATGAGAACATGTATTTTCACAGGAAGTTTCACAAATACGAGGATGCAACACAATACCACCTAATTCCACCTAATTTATTGTGTAATCTATAGCGGAGGTCAGATGGAGTCCGGGGGATTAGCGGTGTTAACCGGGCCGATCCGCCTTGTCAGTCCCTACTTTGTACAGCACATTTAGGTGAGACCTTGGCGTTCGCTTTGGCCCTTTGACCCCCTTGGCGTTCTTTCAGGTGTTTTCCGCAATGCCAGTTTCATAAGGCCATACTTTATCGCAACCCTATCTCGTGCACTTCGCTTTCCATAAACTTCAACACCTCTGGTCTTATCCTCAATCACCCCCTGTAAGCACGCCAATTTTCAGACCACCATGGCCAAGGATGCGACGCCTTCCCGACAATCTGAGCTCGAGTTCGAGAACGCAAACGAGCTACCGATCGTGACACCATCGAATGTGGACGACAGCCATCTGCTGACAGGCAAGAAGTTATGCATCGCATTCTCAGCAATGCTACTAGCCCTGTTGCGTATGTTCTCCGAACCTGATCTTGGAGCGCGCGGCTGAACAATGAAAAATGTAGTAATCGCGCTGGATCAAACTATTCTATCCACCGCTCTGCCGCGTATCGCATCAGACTTCAATGCGGTGAGTTATACAGAACAGACTGATATTCGTGGACTAACAGCTGTAGTTCACCCAACAAGGCTGGGTCGCCACCTCGTTCGTCCTCACGCAGACCGCTTTCATCCTCTTCTTTTCTCAAGTCCTTCGCGTCTACCCTGCCAAATATGTGCTCATAGCATCTGTGGTAATCTTCGAGGTTGGCTCTGCCTTGAGCGGTGCCGCCCAGGATGTCAACACCCTCATTGGCGGACGCGCGCTCTCTGGAGTCGGTGCTGCCGGCATTCTCACTGGTATCCTCCAAGTAATGGCTCAGGCCACCCGGCTAGAGGATCGACCGACACTCTTTAGCTTCTTCGAATCAGTATTCGCGCTGTAAGTACGGTGCAAGTTTAGCAAAGATGACAGACTACTGATCGCATTTCAGTGCCTCGATCATTGGGTAAGAGGACAACCCATTGCCTATCCATTCGGTGTGCAATTGAGCCAACATTTGAATTTTATCACCTTAGACCTCTCATAGGTGGCGCCCTTACAGACCACGTCACCTGGCGGTGGTGCTTCTACATCAATTTACCTATCGTACGTCAGTCACGGTTGCTATTTCCGACGCCACCTTCTAAATTCTCCCAGGGCGGCGTATCTATTGTAGCGATTACATTGCTCCTCGACGCTCCACCACCGCTCGGATCCGAAGGTTATGATGGCTCCCCCAGGACCATGCTGCGGCGTACATCTGCCTTGGACTGGATTGGCGCTATACTCAGTCTCGGCGCCATCACAAGTCTTGTTCTAGGCCTCCAGTGGGGCGGAAATGAGAAGGCATGGAGCAGCGCAGACGTAATTATCGTATGTATTATGCATTCCGAGTTTGTCAAACCTTCGAAAGACCCGCTGATTGAATTGTACCAGTGTCTTGTTCTTGCGTTCGTGCTGACTGTTGCATTTATCTTCTGGGAGCGCTATATGGGAGATCGGGCTATGGTCCCATTGGCCATCTTTAAAAGCGGCCTCCCCATTTACTCCATCTGCAGTTTCGCTATATTCAACCGCTTCATTTATCTGATCTTCACATACGTGCGTTTTGCCCTCCTTACGCTTGTGGGTGTAGCTACTGACGCTCTACCATAGTACATCCGTTCGTCGCGCTCCAGCCTGACCGATTCAAAAATTTGTCGGCTAACCATATATACAGCCATCTACTACCAAGCAGGCCGTCATCATTCTGCGATAAAGAGTGGTGTGGACTTGCTCCCGCTTATGCTGTCCGTCGTCATCTCGATTGTGGTGTCTGGACAAATTGTCGGTAAGTGTTATGATTTCCGTTGGAGTCGGACGACCAATAATATTTATTGACAAACAGGTTACACTGGCCGCTACTGGCCATGGCTTGTCGGTGGACCGATCTTTGGCGCCGTCGGTGCTGGACTAATGTACACTGTGACAGCGTCAGCTTCGAATGGAGCTTTGATCGGCTACCAGATCCTCGTCGGCGTAAGTACTTTCCCGTATATATCGCGTCGTCATTCTGATAAAAGCCTTATGACAGATCTGTATCGGTACAACTCTGCAGAATATCCTGTTTGCCATGCAGGCTGAGTTCAATGACACACCAAAGCTGATCAGTCAGGCGACTGGCATGGTTAACTTCTGCCAGGTGCGTCTATCACGCTCATAGCTCGCCCCCGATGCTTATATTGATACCTATCTTACAGTTCCTCGGTGGAACGATTGGTCTTGCCATCGCCGAAGCGATCTTCTCGTCGGAACTTGTGCACAATTTGCGCAAATACGCGCCAGATGCGCCTTTCGCGGTGATAGAGCAGTCGCCACTGTCTATCTACAGTGCGGTTCCAGACGCATTAGTCCCCAACGTCGTACGCGCCTATGTGTGAGTTTGCTCGTGTTCGTCGCCATGGATAATGACCTAACGCATCCTACAGCAAGTCCCTCTCGATTGTCTATGTTATTGGTGTACCAGCAAGCGGTCTCTCGCTGGTGTTCGCACTTTTCATATCGAATATCAACATGAAGAGGAAGCCAGAAACGGACACAGAAAATAATGTACCAGATGATGATAACGTGGCTAGAGCGGGCAACAACCCCGACGGACAGCCGCCCATAACGGAGAAAAGGCGCTCAAGCCAGACTAGTTAAAGGAGTTGGGGTACCGTTCTGTGCAACCCAAAATATCTCAAATATCTCAATGAGCACTATCGGGAAGGAAGGATAACCCCTTTACATCAAACGGCCAATCGATCCGATAATCGCAATACGTCGCAATACGAAGGAAATTTGTACAAGCCAAATGCTCTGCACAGGACTTTAGACTACAGTTTGTCAGGATAGACATAACGAGCTAGTGTAACACAATATTGTGCTTAGAAATTGATTGGACTGATTTTCACTGTTGGGTTCTTACTGGAGGCTTCCTGTGGTAGTCCAGTATACGTTATAATTATATCCCTGAGCATCATAAAACGCACCCAGTGTAACACTTTTGCCATCGGCGGTGGAGGTAAAGCCAAGGTTAGAATCCTCAGAGCGTCTGATAGAGTCAAGGGCGAGAGTAGGAGTAGTACTCGGTGTTTGATTGCCGTAATTGCCACACAAGACAGTTGGCCCATATGCAATTGCAACCATACTTGAATCGTCATTTGCAGCTACTGTACGCAAACTCATAGGAAAGCGGACCTCGACGATATCCCCGTCGGCCCATTTGCGTGAGATTTGAGCGTATGTGCCAGGCTTAGCTTTTACATTCGGCAAAGCTTCTCCATTCAGCGTCAGCTCTGCGCTTGATGCCCATGCAGGAATGCGGACATTCATCGTCCAGTCACCGCTACCAGACACTTCCAGTTTTGATGTATCGCCGACTGGGTAAGCCGTAGATTGTTTCAGGGTAATGCCCATCTCCCGCCATTTCAGAACGGAAGACATGAATAAGTTGATAAACAACGTCGAGTCATTGTAGAAGTAGATAGAATCCATCAACTTGGTGTTTGTTTCGAGTGCCGTACCTTGACAGCACCAGAATGAGTCGTAGTCTGTACTCCAAGTACCGCCACCCCAGGCGGGACCAACACCGCGGCGACCTCCAGCGTTGAGAGGCGTAAAGTAAGTGATGTGACCATGCTGATCAGCAGGGTCCTGTTGGCCCAGCAGGTGGTTGAGTAAGGCATTTTCGTAGAAATCAAAGTATTTTGAGTTCTCGGAATCAAGAAGCCACAGTTCGCGGGTCAGCTTGAGCATGTTATAGGAGTTGCATGCTTCACATGTATCGTTGTCAAGATAAGCGGCGATGGCATTTGGCGCATGGAAGTGCTCGGCTTGACTGTTACCGCCGATGGCGTACGTGTGTGATTTGACATTGATATCCCAGGCGTTGCGGGCAATATCTAGGTAGCGAGATTCTCCTGTGGCTTTGTATTGACGAGCTGCCCCAATCCACTTTGGTACTTGCGTGTTTGCATGTAGACCGTCGAACTCATCTTTGTTATTGGCAAGCGGGTCGAATATAACCGCATGATCAAAGCGTTGGGCAACAGTAAGCCACCTCTTATTACCAGTTTGATGGTAGAGATCAGCCATCACGTCGTTCATACCGCCAAACTCCGTTTGTAACAACTTCTGCATTGCATCGTAACTGAATGATTCGGTGCGTTTGTCGACCCACCCGGCTAGGGATAGTAAAACATCTCGAGAGGTAGTGTCGTTTGTCAAGCGCCAGATATCCAAAAGCCCTGCAAGAGTCTTGTGCACCGCATAATACGGGACATTGCCATTTTTTAGGGTACCATTCTCGAGTTTTGCGAAGTCCGATTCTGGAAAGCCAGATAAATATCCGTCCGTGAAACCCACAGCCTTGTTGTTGGCCTGACATTTTTCCAGTTCAGCAGCAAAGTAGATCGCTCGATCATAACATGTTTGGTCGCGGAGTACAGCATAGCATTGCGCCCAGGCACTGAGGAAATGACCCTGAACATGCGAACGGAACGGGAAATCCGGAGCATCCCAACCACCGTTCGGTGTTGCCTGCTGTGTAGATACTCCGTGGGTCATCCGGAAGACATAAAGTAGTCTGTCGACGTCTATCTCTTTCAAATATCTAAGGGTACGACCCTGGTTGTCCAGGAAGCGGTCTTGGGTCAATTCGACCCCGCCAAGCTCGAATGCAAAAGCCTGGGCTCCGACATCCTCATTCAAGTTGGACATTCCGTTGACCAAGCAGGAAAGAGAAAGAAACAAGTAAACTAATATCGCGAGGGGTTTCTGCCAGTCCCGGGAGTATAGCATTTTGGGTGGCTCCGACAGATGGATCGAAAGTCTTCTGGAAAGTATAGTTGATTTGACGATATAGATATGGGCCCAGCTATATGAGTGCAGTGATAACGAATCCTTTTTAAGACTACATTTCTCCGGTGGGGTAAGGCGTATATTGAATGTTCAGTGTACACATGTACCTATACGTACCGGGTATTCTCTGGCGGGTGTGGCTTTTTTATTTGAGCTGCCGCCGCTTTTATGAAGGTGCTCAGGCTCAGGCTCACTGAGTAGATGTCAGCACGGGCTCAGATCAGTGATCATGCTCAAATCAGTCACGTGCAGGATACCTGATGCTCAGTGAGTGCTCGTTAAATGCTCTCTGATTACTCAGTGATGCTCAGTGTCTAATCAGTGAGTAATGAAAAGAAGAGCCGACTCATTTAGAAAATGACATTCGCACACGCGCTTAAATGTTAATTATGCCCGAGGTTACGCGGATCGCAACAGCCATGTCCTGCACCAAAGAGCTTTCCTTTAACGAAAAACTTCTTATCTAAGATCTACAGACGCAGTGTGCCCGTGACTTTAACGTCGTACACCTCCCAAATGAGAGCCCAATTCAAGGGTTTTATCCTGTCAAAGATTACTAAATCAATATTATAAGGTGAATGCCCCGATTCAATGATACGTTTAATACTAACTCTGCTAGTCCGAGGAAATATGATAGAAGTGCCCATGTTCACGGATATGTTCGGCGTGAGAAAGCTTCTGACTCTTACCAGCCAGCTCTTTGAGTAAAAGAGCGAATTTTAACTAGAATACTAAGTACAGAGAGAGAAAGAAAGAGAGGAAGGCATTAGTGGAGTGAAAGGTTTATGGGGTTTATGGGTCCTGCTCCACCAATGCAAACACTGCAAACACTCAATCGAGGAACACTCAAAAACCATGTGACAAGTGGTACGCGATATACCATACAAAAGTGCATAATACAGTTAGTCATCTATGTCCGCTCAGATTGTTGAAAAAGCGGGTTTCGTCATTTTTAGTTAGAGTTAACACAGTCTTCAATATCTGATATTGGCACCATACACTGTTCGTACGCCTGATTTCTGTCAGCAAAGCTAGGTCTACCTAGATGTGTATTATGATCTCCACTCGTGCATGACTAACCGGATCGCGGGGTCAACTGGGGTATTTAGTCTAGGGTCCACTCGGCTCTTGCTCAGATCCGAAGTAAGCAAGGTTCCCTCACATACACACACACCCCCATTTCAATATGGACTCAATTGTACCATTCACCACACAGAAGCGACCCGGCGAGAAGGGCTCAGACCAGCAACCGCCCCGGAAGAGAGCACGGCAGAGCTGTGAGACCTGTAAGGCTAAGAAGACTAAGGTACGAAAAGGGGTCGACTTTGGTCGGCAATATAGAAATACTGATCATGGTTGTATAGTGTGTTGGCATTGGTAAGCCCTGCTCCCTATATAAGGCTATGTATGGCCCATGCAATTGCTTTCCTGATAACTGAAAATCTTTTAAGAGAATGGCGCATGCCAGAACTGCGCACAGCTTGGCGTCCCGTGCGAGGTCAATCTCAAGACGAGAAAGCGCCCTTTTTACCGCATCTCAGAGGAGGTCCATGAGTCGTCCATCGCGCTCCTCCGTCGGTTTGTATCGGAAGAAGAGCTACCGGAGCTCACCGTTGAGGGTATCCAAGCCATTCACGCCAAGCTAGACGAAAGAAATGCTAGTTCTAGAAGCCCCAGATCAGTGCAGGTCCAACGACCCACCCGGACTAATAATGCGGAAGGCGCTGGGAAAGAACCAGCTGGGGATGAAGTCATGGAGCCAGACGAACATCCCATCCTACAAGAAGCGCTCGGCTGCATGGTGCTTGATTCTTTAGGAAAATACCGCTATGTGGGCCCAGACTCGGGCATCCGTTGGAATCATGCCGCGCGCCGGGCACAGCAAAATTCTCTGAACACCGATCCAAAGGTCATTGCGCCTTTGAAAACAGGATTACTCCCGCCCAAGACACTAGAGAGCTTGAATGGTGCATGTAGAAGAGAAGTTTACCTGCCACCAAACAACCTATGTATGCGCTACGCTGGGCTTTTTTTCCAGGAGATCCATTGTTTGTATTGGTTCTACTCCTTGGAGCAGTTCTACAGTATGCTGGACCAGACCTTAGAGGGTCGGGGAATAGGAATGAGCGCGTCTTGGCTTTGCTCTCTGTATTCTATCTTTGCGATCGGCAGTATGACACCCGTCAGTCAAAAAACTCAGACAGGGAGCGTGGCGGAAGGGGCCGTGAAGCAGGCGGCGGACTATCTGGCTTTGGCGAAAGAATTGTCAGCTGAAGTGAGCGACGAGGCGGATGTCGAGAGTGTGAAGGCTTCTGGTCTGTTGGTACGTGGCGTATCCCTCCGAGCATCGAGAGATTGCATTACTCACCAATTTTTGCAGAGTTTGGCCATGCATGCTATGTGTCATAGTATTGGGGCATATTTACACTTGGGAACAGCCGTGAGAATTGGGTTCTCTCTTGGTCTGCACCGAAATATCTCTCCCCGGACGAGTAATTCAGTTGAACGAGAGAGGGGGAGACGACTATGGTGGACAATCTATACACTAGACCATGAAATGGCGATTCGCTTCGGCTATCCGTGTGCGGTTGGTAATGATGCTGGTTTCATGAATACGCCACTGTCATCGGAACAGGTACGCAGCTTGAAACACCGGAACTTGGGTTATCTACGCCTTTGGCTAATATATCGTCATATCTACAGATCATGGACCCCGGCCCAAATATGCCACTAGGATACCAGGCACTCTCAGTCTCGCTGGTCCAGCTCCGGAGGAAGATCAGCCATAGCTGCTTCTTAGAACCCGCGCAAGTCGGTGGCCGACTGCCGATGAGTCGTGTCTTTGAAAGCCTAAACGCCCTCAAATGCTGGCTCAACGAAGTGCCTCCGTACCTCGGTTGGGGCTCTTCCCACCCCCCACAACACCGTCGACCCGTGTCAATCCTACACTTAAGGTACTACAGCTCTGTCATTTTCGTCACGCGTCCTTTCCTCTTATTTATTAGCTCTCGTCGATCTACCATCACGCATGCAGCCAAAGCACAATGCTATGAGGAGCTCAGCGGCAAATGCATCGAAGCCGCGGAGCGCTCTGCCGCCATCCTCCAGCGCATGGTGAATGACCGGACACTGTCCAGTCGGATTTTATTTGACAGCCATTGCATAATGGAGACAGCGTGGATTCTAATATTAGCCATGCAGAAACTCGGTCGACCGGAGCATCGGCAGCTTTTGGGCTTCTGCCTTGAGACTGTACGTAACATGGAGAAGATCGGATGGTGCGAAAAGATCTTGCCAGAATTGGAAGCGAGAGTCCACGAGATCGGCATCCTGGAGCCGCATCAAGAGGCGCAGCATCAAGCGAGTAACCTTCAGTATCAAGCCTATCCGGATAGAGCCACGGGGTACAGTGTGTATCCTGAAACAGAAGCTCTTTTCCTGGATGACACCGACTTGTAAGGCCTCTTTTTTCGTTCCTTTGAAGGGATTTGTTTAACAGGGTCTTGCAGTAACCTCGATATTTCCGAATTTGACGTGCTCGAAACGCTAGACCTGAATGCTCAATCAGGCCGGATTGATGTCCTCGCGGATGGGACATTATCTACCTTTCAGCTCAATTTCTGAAGACGCTCTAGGTCTCTGGTTCAAAATCGACGTTTCATACGTCTCGATTGTAAAATCATCTCACTTCACTTCGATTGACCATATATCTGTTCCGTGTTGAAACATGTATATATACGTACAGTCATGTATTCATTAGTATTTGTACCCAAGCACTTTGCAAGGCTGGAGACCTGTCCCTTGCCGGGAGAACTTCAAAACATGTAAATGTGTGAGTATAAAAATCCTTACTAACTAGTAACTATGCTAACCCCTCACACCTAATAACTTCTTCAACACGGTGTAGCATGTTCCCTGCTGAAATAAGAAAATAATGCACTACGGTAGAAACCGAGATACTAACTAGCGTACGCAGTAGCACTAGGTAGGCATAACAAGAGCGGTCAAATACAAATGAAACACCACTGTCTGGACGTAAAATTCTTGTAACTATTCATATTCCATCACCGCTAATATGGCTATTCTGCCTTTGTTGCCACGGCAATGGCTGGCTCGCAGCCTTAACAGGGCCCAACTCCTGCTCCCGCTTCTTCTTCCATGCCGTGATCTCGCTCTCTTCCACGAAACCGTGAAGGCCGAGCCTCAGCTTGAATGGCAAATTAATCACCGCAATGGGACCCTGAGCGATCTTTTTCGCATGGAATATACACAAGTCATTTCGCAGCACATCTAAATGGTTCATTAGCGCTCAGGATCGCACTTCAGCGGTGTCATAGGAAGGACGACCCAGTTATCGCTTGGCTGATCCATCTTCCGGAAGATGAGAGCAAGTGATGTGGGGCTGAAGCCGGAGATAACAACAGCTCGGATGCAAAGAGCCGGCCGAAGAGGTTGATCAACATATGTACCAACATCCACGGGTAATTCACCACCTAGAGTAGCAGCATTGGGGTAGCTAGGAAGTTCCATCCCTAATTGTCGTCATCTTACCCCGCAGAAGCGGATATGATTGTGAGCGTCGCTCTCCCCTTCAAGTCCTCTTCGGGAAGGCTCAACCGTATCATCTCTCTCGTTGGCTCTCCCTTTGTAGACCCTCTGTCTTTGCCATGCTTCCCTTTTTTTGCAGCCTCGGTCCTCATATAGCGTTAATCGACCATACGGAAACCATAAGTGACGTCAAGTGGCAAATCAGTTGTTTTTCTTTTCTGTTTTCACACATACAAGGTCTCTTCGACTATCCACGTTAGTGGCTTACTTGAGTAAATAACTATCGTAATTATAACTAAAGCAAATCAAATACAAGTGAGCGGGACAGCCCAAAACGCCGTAGCAAATGCATTATATCTATAGCCCAGAGTGCAGCAACCACGAGCGTTTTTTTATTTGACCAGTTGTTAGGATTACAATATAATAAGCTAATCATTTTCTCTTACTTATTAAGACGTTATCTCTATGGCTACTACACAAACTTTACTATATGCCCAACGAGGCTTCGAGCAGAGTGCTAATTGTAAGTCGCACGCCAATCAGAAAGTTAGGGGGTAGTATACGCATAAGGGAACTGATGATCTGAATAGGCATGCCTCCTAAAAGGGGGAGATAGTTCTCACGGATAACTATGTGCGATACTATATAAATTAGTCCCAGGCATATCAGAGCGTGAGCTGTGATATAATGGTCTTTAAGCTGAATATTCGTCTTCGAACCCTAACCCCCCCCCCTCCGAGCCGGGGGAGCGAATTAAGCCGGAATTTTACACTAAAAATACCTACTACAGAGAAAGAACTATGTCGATAGGCTTCATTAATCAAAGCTTTACTTCGTGTAGGTTCTTAAAGTCCACTAAGCCCATTAAATCGAGCATCAAACCAGCTTATGAGAGTTTGGTTGAAATAAATGTATTTAAATCTATAGGTTTCTTAGAGTGCGCAGCTCGCTTACCGAATACGCTATATCTGACTTGAAGACCTGAATCGAGTTAGTTGCCCAAAAAGGATGTACATATTGGAACCCCAAAGGGTCCAAATCTTTCAATCTCATAAGCGCACGGTAGGTTTTGTCCAAATAATATTATATAAAGCTATCTTTTTTACGATGTCGGGTTTGTAAAATATCCTCTCACTCACTTGTGATATACATTGATACAATTAGGTTTAGGCGCTGGTTCAAAGGTAACCCTCCAATTTGTCGGCGAAGCAGCAGAAGGCTCTCTCTCAGTGTAAGTAAGGCACTATATTCCATAGACAAAAATTGGAATTCGCGAGCAACATCGGCTTACTGGACTACCTCAACGTGCGCCTCGGTGGGATTGTCTTCAGCCTTGACTTCCTTCCTGCCCCTTTCCTGTGCTTCGAGGTTCTCTATACACACATACTTGGAGAACTCTCTCGTGGGCACATTATTGCGGAACATCTCATCAATTTCCTCGAGGGTCCGGCCTCGCACTTCAGGCAAGCAATACCATATAAAGGCAGTAGTTATGAGGCCGCTCCCGAACCACACGTACCCATACTTGGGGCCCCAGTTAAGCTCTGTCGGGTTAATAAAGTAAGGCGTTGTAAAGGCGGTCAACCACCCAAAGAAAAAGCTGACAGTGGTCGAGAAGCCCAGGGTATAGCCACGGAGCTGCTGGGAAGGTATCTCACCGGCAACGAGGTAGACGTAAGGTTCTACGCCAAAATTGAAGCCGAATATATACACTGATACGGTAACGATGAGAGCAATGTCTTTGCTGGCTTTATCAACATTGGGTGCGGCGAAGACGGAGGCCATGATGAGCATGGTAGTTGTGCAAAGAGCACAACCAACGAGAATGATTTGCCGACGGCCAACGCGGGTGACAACCGCCCAGGTCAAAAGCAGACCAGCGATACCAATACAATTGGTGACGATAATCCATTGGAACGGATCAGAGACCTCAGCCTAAACTGTTGTTAGCTGCTTTTGGGTCATTTCTGATGCTTATTTATGAAACGCGCCGAGACTTACCACTTCAAAAAAGTAGGTACCGAAAGCAAGAACGAACATTGCCCCTATAGCAGCATTCGTAGTGCCAACACCGACGGCAACCATCGTCCGCCGCAAATTAGGACCGCGGAAGAGTTTGAAGAATGTAATCCAGCTTGTCTGGACCTCTCTTTGGCGTCTTGCAGCAGCCTTCATCTCCTCAAACTCCTCCCGCAGTGCAACTTCATCATAAGTGCCCCTGCGGAAAAATTGCAGGCTGCGGAAGGCCTCGTCGGGTTTTCCACGATGCAGCAGCCAGCGAGGGGTTTCAGGGAAGAATGGCAGTGTCAGAATGAGGATAACTGGAGCCGGGTAACAGATGTAGAGGGGAATCTGATAGGCTTGGCGGCTCATAATGCTGGCGGTTTTATTGTTGACTACCTGTTTCCCTTATTAGCACGGCCTTCCACCAAACGCAGGCTTTTTGTTTTCTTTGGGTGACGAACCATGCCAATCGTAGTTCCAATCACAATCCAGCAAGTCACCATACTCATACATAAGCCACGAAAGTACGCGGGGGTACACTCCTGCAGGTACAATACCGTGAAGTTGAGTAGTATGCCATTGCCGATACCAATGAGGAGTCTAGAAAAGTAGAGCGCTCCCATCGAGGTTGTCTCGGACATGATGACTGTCGAGACAATCACGAGTAGTGACCCTAACATCAAGGCATAGCGGCGCCCGATGTAAGAACCAATGAATCCAGTGGAGGCGGAGCCGATCATATTGCCTAGGACCATGAACGAGGAGATAATCTGCTGAGGCCCGGACTAGTCGTCAAATGTCAGAAGAAATCAACAGCGAAGAGGGATAGAGTGTGGGTTACATGGATAGCCCAATTTCCATCTAGAGTCTGGTAGCCAAAGACCTGTAGGAAACCAGGCATGGCCTGGAAGCCCGCAATGGCGCCTTTGTCAAAACCATACTCGAAGAGCGAAGTGCCCAAGTATAGCGTGATGGCGAAGATACGCCAGTTTGCCTTCAAGCTAGTGTCGCGACGGCCCTCGCCAAAAACTTGTTGCTCCCTGTCTATGATACTAGGAGGCATATTGGAAGCAACAGCGGGGACACCTGTTCAAAGGGTACAAAACAAGAGAAAGGAGGCACGAAACAATTGCCCGAAGCAAAAAAAAAAAAAAAAAAGAATCGGGTTGGAATTAATGGACAGAGTTGTCGTGTCTTTTCCTGTCCTTACGCCATGCAGAAAATACCACGGGGTATCCCGTTTATAAATTGAGGTGATCTGGACTATTCTGAATTGGGGCTAACTAACTGGATACTCCCCGGATTTTTTTTAGAGTTCATGGGGTAGCGGCCCGTTGGATATTGGGGGTCAGCCAAAAGCTGTGACGATCTGGGGGATAGAGTTTAGGCGAGTCTTTGGACAAGGATCGGCGGCTGTGTATATTAAGGTTTTATCTCCGGAGACAATCTTCCTGTGCTTAGCAACCCGGCTGCAAGCCTCCGGGGATATCTCCCCGGCCAGAATGTTCCAATTTCGGAATGGATTGCAGGAATAAAAAAGGGGTCAATGCGCTAAGTAATTTAATATGCGGTCATTTGCTTGGAGCCAAGGTTGTTGAAACTCCAAGGCTCAATTCATTCATCATGGTGACTTACTCCCCCTTAGCACCTTTCTCGTTGGCTCTCAATGACAAGGAAAATGCAATGGCCAACGAGGTCCTGACCACATGGAAGGCAACAGCCAAGCGTACACCAACAGTCGATATCCTACCCCTGGACTCGACGCCGCGACATGGGTCAGCGTGCTCGAGGAATTTAAATCAGTCCTCGGAGACGAAGTTGTCTTAACTGGGCATGAGCATCGCCTCCGCTACAATGACCCATATTCAGAGGGATCCGACGAGCAGGGGAAACGCGGAAGCTCAGCGACTCTGTTTCCTGTCACCGTCGAGCATATCCAGGCTGTTCTGAAGATCTGCAACAAGCACAAGATCCCCCTGTGGACTGTGTCGCGGGGGAAAAACCTGGGCTATGGTGGCCCTGCCGCAAGGGTAAAGGTATAACAAGCAGCCATGCCCCACCATCTTACAAAGAACTCCAGACTAAGCGCTGTCATCCTAGGGTTCCATAATTCTCGACCTGCAATGTATGCGCAAAGTGATTGAAATCAATGACCGCTACTCTTATTACACCGTTGAGCGTGGTGTCACCTTCTGCGACATCTACCAGGAAATCCAAGAGCAAAAGAAAAACATATGGTGCTCCGTGCCGGCCCTAGGCTGGGGTTCTGTCGTCGGCAACGCTTTGGATAGAGGCTGGGGTTATACCCCAGCCGGCGATCAAACCAAATATGCGGTATTGAAGTCGTGCTGGCAGATGGGAGCGTTGTACGGACTGGTGCTGGCGCGATTGACAAGTCTCCCTGCTGGCCGCTGTTCCGTGGCGGCTATGGGCCCACATACGAGAGCATGTTCAGTCAAAGCAACTTTGGTATCGTAACAAAGCTTACGCTTTGGGCATCGCCCAGTCCGGAGGGCTTTATGGCTTGTCGCATTGATGTCGAGAATGAGGAGGATCTTTCACCACTGATAGATGGATTCCGCGATCTCCTGCTTCGCGATGTAATCCAAAATCACCCCTTGATCGAGAATATCCCCCGCGAGATAATCAAGCGTGGACAGCGCCAGGATTTTTATGATGGCGAAGGTACGATTCCGGACGCTCAATTGAAAGAGATCCAAAAGCAGCTAGGGATTGGGTTTTGGTCTGCGAGATTTGGACTATATGGTCCTAAGGAAATGATCGAATACAACTGGAAGAGATGTCAAAAAGTATTCGACAAACTTCCCGGTGCAAAACTTACAGGCAAGGCATACTACCCTCCTGTGGAAAAAGAGATTTTGAGTCCAAAAGATATTCCTTTGCCAGAGCGCTCTGTCGAGACTGGCACTCCTAATCTCATGGCTCTGAAAGCCGTTGAGTATCGCGGCAAGGATGGGTACGTACACGATCCGCCAAACGTGAGCCTTGTTCGGTGCTAATCGGAATTACAGTGGCCACATCTCCTTTTCTCCTGTTCTACCCCCCGAGGGCAGCTGCGCCATGGCATTCTATCGTGATGTGAAGCCCCTGTGTGCCCACCATGGCTTTGACTATTTTAGTGGCCTCCATCTCTACCCCCGCCATCTCACTATGATCAACATGATTTACTTCGACCGCACATCGGATAACGAGCGTGCCAATGCCAACAAGCTCTTTGTGGATCTTGTGAATCTTGCACGAAAACATGGATACAGCGAGTACCGTGCCCACATCGACTTGTTGCCGATCAGTATGATTTCAACGGATGCAGCTTGCGGGCGCTGAATGAGCGGATCAAGGATGCTCTGGACCCGAATGGAATCTTAAGTCCTGGAAAGCAGGGCATCTGGCCGGAGCAATATAGACAGGAGAAAAAGCTAACTCAAGTCAGGAAAAGTCCTGTAACGGGCTCTTTCCCTGTAAAATGATACTGAATCATTGTTATGCGATTTTTTTTGTATTTTATATACCTATGGAACATATTGTTGAAATATAATTACAACACGGCGGAAGTCACCTGAGCTATGACAGTATGTATGTGTGTAATTTATTTACGCTGACCCCACGTCGAAGTTGTCCTCTCCCTCAATTGCTAGGCCGGATATTTTGAATTATGTCTTGATGCTATGGACGGATTTGAGCCAATGACTATAAGTTGGAGATCAACGGGTGGCAAGCTGGTATTGGCGGATGCATTCATACTCTTATGGTTTGGAGGGATTTTCTCGAGTCAGGACCAAATTGGGTACTTATGTTTCTAGCAGCTGATGCATGGTGGGATTTCCTCGAGTCAGGACTAAATTGGGTACTTATGTTTCTAGCAGCTGATGCATGGCGGGATTTCCTAATATTTGTTATATACTCATGTCTTAGGATCCTGGATGGGCACATAGTGTTAGATTCATGGTAAGCTTTAAACACAGAAGCAAGTTTCTAGAAACACTGTCAACGAATAAGAATCGCAATAGGTAACACAATCTATTGTAAAAGAAAGCATCTTAGCCTACCAGAGAGTTATTTCTTTTACAATACTAACACAGCCATTTCTATACAATTTATACAATTGACCCTAAGTCACATTTTTTACTTATTATATTCGTTAAAACTTCAAGCTCACTCGCGGGTAACCTCTATAAGGTTCTAGGTCATAGAACCTTAACCTCCGGGTGAACCTCCTTGAGGTTCATGAGGTTCAGCTAGGTTCCTAGCCAGGTCTAGCGTTGACGACGCCAGTCATTTTTTGATAGGATAATTGGGGTGATTTAGAGATGGTGTTCACGTGATGGAACTAACATGTTGCATTTTATGTAGCTTACTCAGTTCATTCAATCCTCCACTCTGGTCGTACTCTGTGATCAGGTCGCTCAGATGATGATCAATGAATGGACCAGAGTACTGAGGGAATGATCAATGCTCAGTGGGTATTCAGCGACGTGCTCATTTTTACTGAGAGATCAAAAAGCGGCAAGAGGTGAGCACTAAAGCGGAAAGGGAAAGGTCCCGAGTGCCAGGCATTATCCGGTACATATGTATAAAATTTTAGGGTCCTCCACACAAGTACTCCGATATACCTCTATTGCTTCTAGGCTGCTCCGGGGCTGGTTGAAACCCGGGAGTGTTTTATTGGGCGGGAATAGTTCTTGCGGAGAAATTCAGCCCGTTTTCTAAGATGGGAAACATGCCGGAGGATATGTAGATCACTCCATAGTTCATATCGCTCCTGTTCGCGTCATTCGCTTATATTTTGCGATCGCCACCTGGGCAGAAATTGAATTCCCACATTTGTCATTAATCGATAAATCGCGCATTATCTCAAGTAATCATATCGAAGTTTCACGTTATATGGTACACTCGATTTTCTCTTAGGTGGCCTAAGTTGGATAAGAAGCGTTTCCACACTCACTTTCCATTCAATACTCTATAAATACTGTAAATAACGGGGTAAGTGGCCATGTCCACCTCGCTTATGAATCACGTTATATACGCCTCGGAGTTTAGTACGCGGAGCATTCTCTTTCTAGACTAGTTATACAAGACCCAAATAGTGCGTTTTCGATAGAGATACGGTATTACATGATATTCTTGCCAAGCACGTACTCTACCACGCTTGGCATAAGACGGCACGGGTAGATCTGTCCTCCCGAGCCCAGACCCGAGGTCGGGCATGTAATAAAAATTGCCGATTTGGTCTCTAGGGTTAAATTCCACTTCTTGACTACCTAGAAATTTCGATACATAGATCTATATCTATAGAACTCTCTAGGCTTTAGGAGGCCATAGGAACGTGATATGAACCAAGTTCAAAAAAATCGGATGGAATCTCGGCCGGTCCAGACTTTGGCCCCCATCGCTAACAACCCGTTTCAAGGATATACTCCGTAAATCCTTTTGGACAAGCTTAGTGGATAGCTCCTGCCCAGGTGCGAGCCGAGACAAATATCATAGGAGGCACATCATCCCAGAAATTTACTTAGAAATTTACTTTTGCCTATTATGCTTATTGGACTTGGCAAAAAAAAAAAAACCCTCAAAACTAAGACTTGATTTTTGTCGGTTTTCATAAGAGAAAAAAGTCTTCAGTAGCCTCAGCTGAAGATTCGGAATCCGTTTACCCTGATAGCGTCCATGCTTTGATTGGCCACTCAGCGGCTAACTATTTTAGTCCAGTTTCGTTAAGATAGGATATCCACGTGCCGAATTGATAGTATATTTCGGGAAATAGGTGGTGTGATATATCGTACGTTACTTCGTGTGGGGAACCAAATTGATGCAGAAAAAATCAACCACAAAAGGGAGGGTATCGTGAATATGGCATTCCGTTGCACGCAGTCAATTTTAGTATAAACAAATTAAAACCCTCCACGGCGCCCTTCGGCACTCTCACGGTCTGCTAACTCAATATTCTCATCCCGAACACTGAAGTGAACCGATGTATAAATCTTCAGACCACTCTTAGGATCAGTGGGGCCAATAATGGGATCCTCCTCTCGTTCCCAGCCGCGCAGAACACCCGAAATATCATTGCTGTCCTTGTGCTGCGTAAAGGTATTCCTCGAGTCCATCCTCCTTGATTTGGAATGCGACCCAGAAGTCCCGTTGGTGTAGGAAATTCCGTTGCCGTCTTCGTAGGCTGCGATGAAAGATTTGAAGAATGCGCTCACGACACATAATACGCTTATCGCAAGATAGATCTCCGTTATGACGGTTGCGAAGGCACCGAGGAGGATGGGGTCATCGGAAGTGATTTGCAATTTTGCGTAGTATAGACGGAGACCGGCGAGGGGGATGAGACTGGTTGGAAGTCAGATGTTAATTTATGGGGAGAATCGAAAGATGTTCGGGGTAGAGAAATGGACTCACAGTACTCGGGCCTGAAGAGCTATGAATACCACCAGCTTTTTCCTCGTTGATATCTGGATTTTTTGCACTGCTATTGCAGTATACACGAACAGAGAGGCCTCGGTGGCGATATCGATCGCTGTAATCGCTTGCCATCGGGGTAACTAGCATATTATAACCAGTCAATTACTCATTTCCTCATAGCGTTTTTCTTATCTTACCAGACTGCTGCACTGAGCGTCGCTGATATCAACCCATGGGTTGCGGCTACAGCGGACTGCTAGTAGTATGACTGAAAGAATCGTCCAAACAACCATTCCAACCAGGTTGATGCGGATAAACATCTTTTGTATCTGTGAAAAGAGCGTACTGTAGAATAAACAAGTCGATATCTTGGAGCAGCCCAAGACAACTATCGATAGGATTTCAGCTGCATATCCGGTCTTGAGCATGCGATCGCTTGTAGTTTGGCCAAGTTTTGTCCGGATACCCCAGCCCTCGTGAACCTGAACGAGTACTACCGCTGCTTGAGTAGTTGCAACAACCTATCTTATTGTTAGTAGGAGTAACAGAATTCGGTGCAAATCGCTCTGCGAATGAATGAGCTTACTATCAGCACGCCAAACGAAAGGTTATTATGCTGCATAATACGCCTAGTGAATGAGACGGATATTCGTGTAACGAGCGCAACAATAATCAAAACGAGATAGAGCGAGGTAATCACTACGATCAACCCGCTATGGTTATTGGGGTTATCTGTTGAGAGAGGCGGGCTTATGCCTGGAGGCAAAGGCGAAGAAGCCGACATGATTGTCTCAAGGCAGATTTGAACATTGAAAGTCGACACAGTTTATATTTTAAAGCATGTGGAAACAAGGGGGCCATCTATGTAATGAATTTGGGGGGGGGGCGAAAATTGCTTATTATTCTTCAAGGCGGTAGGCAAATCATCACGAGTTTCCACAGCAAGGGTTATAAAGTGGAAGGACAAGGATTGTGAAGAAGAACAGGCCATAGAAAGTCCATGGGTGCCTCCGTAGAAAGCATATAAAGTACTTAATCAAAATAAGAACCAATCGCATCCTTCGTTTCAATATCACTATGCATCGGGTGTAAATGTGGAGATCTGTATCTATGGAGACATTTCGAAAATAAAAATAATAGGACTTTTTTATCAGACAAATATTGAAATTTTCACTTAGCGTGGCATCATCTCGCTTGAAATAGTTGTTTCCCGAATCGCGCGAAGGAGCTAGGCTTATGCGCCTCAACTCTTAGTCCGATACCACCCTCGTGTTATCCGCATGCGCACCAACATGGCGTTTATTTCCTGCATGCAACATGGGACTTTCCATTGTTTCTTTTTCATTTGATTCTGCAAAGAATAAAGTTACCAAAGTACAATTGTATTGTGAACTTCACCCGAACAAGCCTAGTCCAAGCCAAGGTGAAGAGTAATAGAATACCCCACCTATACAGTGCCATCGAGATCAAGACTTGTGGATCAGATGTCGCTGTATTCGGCCAATCTGCGCTGTTATACAAAGAATCTTTAATATGATTCACTAATTAACTATGGCCCCTTGATCTCTTCCCCCCTTACATTTTTCCATTTATTCTCGATCTCCCCATCTCTCTCTCTCTGTGACATTCCATCTCTCTCTCCCCACCTCCCAGCAGCCCACTGCTAGACCGCCATGGGTTCTTTCAAACAATCCGGTTCCGCGGTGCGGGATACAGAGCTGCAATCTTTGGATAGAGATGGTTCTTCAGACCATGATCCAAAGGCAGCTGTTGCAGATGACAATGACATGCAACGAATGGGAAAGGCCCAGGAATTTAAGGTAATAATATTTTTTTTCCTATCTGCGCATTAATTCCTATCTAATAGTGTCAAATAGAGAAACCTAAGGCCTTTGGCTGCTTTAAGTTTTGCATCGGTTTTGCAGGCAACCTGGGAGTTCATTCTTATGTAAGCATATCACTCAGGTGCATACTTCCGTTGAACATGTTTCTAATCCGTGAACGTTATTTCAGCTCCAACTACGAAGGTTTATACAATGGCGGCCTACCGGGTCTGTTTTATTCTTATATATGGACCTTCATTGGGTTCGGCTTCATTATTGCCTCGATCTCCGAAATGGCATCAATGGCACCAACTTCTGGCGGACAATATCACTGGGTTTCTGAGTGGTCCTCGCCACGATACCAAAAATTCCTTAGTTATGTTACAGGTACGTTTATCTTATGGCCCTGTATTTCTTTTTGAAAAAAAAAAAAAAAAAAAAAAAAAAAAACCTATTCGCTAATTAGTTTCTCTTACATAGGCTGGATGTCAGTGTTGGCATGGCAAGCTGGAGCAGCCTCTGGCTCATTCCTCACTGGAACTATTATTCAGGGATTAATCAGTGTTCGAAACCCTGATTACGACCCACAGAGCTGGCAGGGGACTCTGCTTGTCTTTGCAATGGTCCTGGTGATTTTCATTGTTAACGTCTTCGCATCCGACCTAATGCCAGTCCTAAACAACCTCTTAATGATTCTGCACGTTCTCTCCTGGGCAATTATTGTCATTGTTCTGTGGGCAATGGCTCCTCACCAACCCGCCGAAGCTGTCTTTGCTACAGAGTGGAAGAATTTTGGAGGTTGGTCTACAATGGGACTAAGCGTTATGGTCGGACAAATTTCAGCTATCTACGGCTCTCTGAGTACGTCTCAAGCAAGCTTTAACGTGTATAGAGGATACTAACAGATATAGGTTCTGACGCAACTGCACACATGTCCGAAGAAGTGAAGGACGCTGGCCGCAACGTACCCATCGCTATTGCCTGGGGCTACTTTAGCAACGGCCTTATGGCCATCGTCCTCATTATCACTTTGCTCTTCGCTATGCCATCAGTGGAAGCCGCCCTAGACGATCCTACTGGCTTCCCATTCCTCTATGTCTTCCAACAGACGACCTCAATGGCAGGAGTGAACGGACTGACGGCTATCATCCTTCTACCCGTTATCTTTAGCAACATCCTCTTCAACGCCTCTACTTCCCGGCAAACTTTCGCCTTCGCTCGTGATAATGGCCTCCCATTCTCCAAGTGGATCGGCAAAGTCGACCAAAAGCGCAAGATTCCCACGAATGCTATCATTTTGTCCTGCATCATCAGCTGCGCGCTATCCCTTATCAATATCGGATCCGAGACTGCGTTCAATGCCATTATCTCTCTGAACGTGGCGGCCCTGATGTACACGTACATCATCTCAATTAGCTGCGTTATCTACCGCAAAATCTGGCATCCCGAGACCCTCCCACGCCGTCGGTGGGACCTGGGACGTTGGGGACTGGGTATCAATATTGTCGGGCTGCTATATTGCTGTTTCGCGCTCTTCTGGTCGTTGTGGCCAGGTGATGTCGTCGTCACGGCGGAAAGCTTTAACTGGAGTGTGGTTCTCTTTGTGGGAGTCTTCATTATTAGTCTCGTGATGTATGTTTTCAAGGGCCGGAAGGATTACGTTGGACCGTCGGTTATTGTCGAGAAATCCCAGGGTTGATCTCAAGGCGAAAAGTCAGAGATAGAGGGGAACAGAGCTGTATTAACAAAAGGAGACAAGCTCCGAGAATTATGTATATTTTTTCCTGCAAAATGACCTCTTGTGTATTTTTTCGCTTCCCTCCGAGTACTCAACTAGGATAAGCATTATTTTCCGCTGGAAGATTCATTTTGACGGAACAATTGATTTGATGAAGTTGCGATGAAACTTGATGGAACTGCTAGAAGAGAAGGAAGTGCAACCTGTGGGAGATCTGGGTATATTTAACCTCTTTCCTTCAATCCCAACCCGTTTGTTTGCTCATGCCGTTTGGGGATTGTGTCGGCGCAGTGACGCCGGTATACCGGAGGAATAATCCCATGTGTTTTATATAAATTGCCAGTAGAACCGATACAGAAATACAGGGTTGAATATCATCGATTGGACCCCCACATTTACGATACGGAATAACTACAAGTTATAGATCACCAGATATATACCAGCTTCTTATTGGTTATTGGATTTCCCCTTTGGTCCCAGTCCCAAACTACTTCATTCTGATTTGTTCAATCATTTCCTAAAGAAGTATCGTCTATGTCGATCCCACAAAAGGGGCGAAATTGATGCTTATATAATACACAGGGTGAGCACCCCGAAAGGGAAAGCCATCTAAGGTCTAAAATCCAGATATGTAGTTAGTATGTAATTCGTTAATTGTGATCTACAGTTCGACTTCGGATATCCAATTTATCGTAGAATTTTGCAAGCTCAAAATCCACAGGATTCTATACCTGGACATGTATCGATTGTTTCGAGTCCGTCCTCTCGTGTACTCCAATCTCATCATTCCACTCCAAAATATCATCCGCACTAGAATTATCAGAAATACGTATCATCGACTTTCCGGGTATTGCTGTCAACCTCCGGGACCTAGATGTGGGCATGGAGTTTCCACCATATGGCGAACTCAACTCGTATGTGCTCTGTCCCGTTCCAGCTGTCCGCCCTCGAACAGATCGGAGTATGGATCTAATACAAGGTATTGACGCTGTTATGATGACTAGGTAGGCTTCGATGTATAGCCAACGATTGTAGTTGACGGTTGCGACCGTTGGATCATCGGCTGCGTGTGCGAGCACTTGAGTTTGCACTACTTTAATAACGGAAGCTGCCATTGCACTAAATTCAAGAGAGATACGTTAGCTAGTTAGGTATCTCTCGAACTAGGGTCTTATCAGTCACTCACAAAATGCCCAATCCGAGGAGTGTGACCAAGCCCAACTTGACTCTTAACTTCAAATTCAAATTCCAGAATATGTATGTTGAAAATACTGCCAGATAAAGATCTGTCGCTGAATTAAATGCTAGGAGCAAGGATTAGTCTCAGTTATGTGTAGATCAGGGCAATGAATGGAAGCTCGTACAGCCTTGATAGTACCCGTAGTATGCTTGGATGCGGACATCCCAACATTTATGTTTCCCAGTCTGAGTCCAGATAGCAGAAGCATGTCCTGGACATTGAACAAATAAAATGATGATCAATATCAAGTTCGTCAAGATTTGTAACCCAGCTATGATCCACAGTATCACTCTGTGTGATCTTCTGGTGCCAAGTAGGCCAATGACGAAGACAATAAAGGAAATGCGACCCAAAGTACCGCCAGCAATGCCGAATGTCTGTGTCAAATAGTCGAACATAATAACTTTGGGAACGACCGAATTTGTGTCCAGATCCCAAACATGGCGACAGAACCCATGCCTGACACCGACGGTAAGCAGAGCTGATCCGACTATAGTGAGACACTAGTTAAGTGCCAGCCAGCAGGTTAGTTTTGATCTTCAGACTATTATGACCCCAAGACGACATGAACTAGCTAACCAATGATGAAACCATGAGAATGTCATCCCAGCCAATTTTTCGGATCCTTATTTTTGCAATCACCCTCAAGATGACTATCACAATGGCGATACCAGTAAGCGTCCAAATATCTCTCAGTAGCCTTGGACCGCAGTTATAGGTGGCATCTCGAGGCGAGAGAGACATATTAGTTGATCAAGATTATGGTATTCGCCAACGCAGTGGACGGAAAATATGTGAGAGACAGACATGTCCATATCACCAGACACTAATCGATCGAGTTATATTGAACCCACTGTATTAGCCCGTTATCATATCTATGCTTTACCAAATTAACCCGATCGGAGTTCTCCACGGGGCTCCGGATGTAGTCTGCTTAGTTAAATCCATTGCCATGTGAACATAAAACTCCTTGGAAATTCTAGAAAGCCGTCGGAGGTCTCCGCTAGAACCCGAGGCAGGTACATAGTAACGATAAGATAGTAAGCTTGACCTATTAAATGGCCAAAGCCCCAAATCTTAAAACCAAACATCCATATGACGCCAGGAACAAGGGTAGGGCGTTCGATAATAGGCAGAATGTTGATTGGTCCCCGCGAGGGATCCGAGCGGCCGGATATCTTCAGCGGAGGTGCTGTTGTACGCAGATGTGATCGTACCTAGATTTGCTGGAACTCTTGCCAATGGACAGCAATTGGGTTATCCAGTGGATATGCTTCTAGGGTATTAAATCCTTTGGCAAAGGTCCCAGCGCAAGAGACAGAACAATAGACTTAAATATGCTCTGTATTAGCGAATAAACCCTAGTCCTTACATCTGGCTGTGGGAAATAGCAGTGACATCCATAGTTTAGTAGAAAAACAAGTAATCTGTGTGGCAAGCCGATTGAGGCGAGTCAACTGGTTTGCGTCACGATAATATAGGCGAAAGATTGCACATCTCAATGAACAAGATTAGACTGCAAGCAAGTATCATGAAAATTAGCATCGAATCACAACGTGTTCATAGGATGAAAGCACAAAGATGCCAAAGGGCAAATCTATTGTTAAAACTGAATATTACTTGTGCCGCGTCAGGTGTCAATATTTGCCATTTCCGTAACTTGGCATCTTTTCCCGCCAGGGGTGTAAGCAACAGTGAGGTGGACACAAAATGAAGTGCCCATCTCAACATATAATCCAACATTGACCCGAGAATCATCCGAATGACCAATTCCCAAATTATGCTGTAACGGGGTATCATAGACGCGGCTATGGGCCCCTAATTCGGCCGTGGCGGTTACATCATGTCCATGATGTCTCCAAACGCTTTTCAGGGACTTTCACCAGAGACAAGATTTGAATGGTAGATCGAAGTCCCACCCCGTGCGAAAAATCTATTCAAATCACAGATTCCCCAGAAATGTAAGAACCCAGCCATCACGATCAACCTGAAATCAACTCAACATGGTTCAGATCAAGATCCCAATGCTACTCACAACCTTGGGCATCATGAGCGCCGGTATCGGCTGCTCTGCGGCAACTGTCACAAACAGCCTGCTACTAGCCGATGTTGCCAAACAACTATCCCTGCCAGCATCGACATGGTCAGCCAGCGGCACACACACGGCGAAGGGATACACCAATGAATCGGCAGAGACGGCCTCTGTGGAGGGATTGAAGCAAGATTGCGACAATATTAACCTCAATAAGAAGTTGGCTGTCGACTTCCGCAGCGACGTTTTTGGTCCCGGTGTTATGGGGTTCTTCTACAAGTGCGAGAAGGTCAGCGATGAGACCAACAACTACTGGTTCACTATCAGTGCTGGCAACAAGACTCAGATCAACAAGCTTTGTGATCCTGATACTACCTACCCCATTATCTATGATCAACAGCATGATACTTGGTTCATTGATGAGCCTTTTGATTGTACTCGACGAACCAATCCGAGAGACTTCTTTTAGGGAAAGGATGAAACGCTACGGTAAGATATTTATGCAGGGGGTCAATGGTCACAATAGGCTAACAAATTTTGTCAGAATCAACTGTCTGCTCGCTTGTGTTGTGAGTCTTGCGGGGTCTGGAAAATTAGACATGAATTGAGTGGGCTTAATTATATGTTGGTGCGTTTGCCCCCAATATCGCATCTTGCCCGCGACTTCACGGAGTGCGCTCACATCGAACTCATCGTACTTAAAGAGCGGGAAGTCTTCTTTTCTAGTGTTCGGAATCATGATGTTCGGATCCATGATGTTGGGGGCAGGTTGCTCTTCTATATACTCCTTCAATCCCAGGGTAATGAGACAGCTGTCATTATGCAAGGGTTAGAGCAGCAAGAGATCTAAATCTTAAAGAATGTTCTATGCAAAGAAAGAACCGACGAGGTCGTTGCCTATGAAAGAACATTAGATCTATACACGTGACTACCCCATGGGATACCCAGATTCAATACTTGGTCACATACATTTGCTTGGGGTATGGAAGTCTAGAATCTTGGTTAACAAAGTTAGCACTTGGATCAAACGATGTTGGCCAACTGGCGAATCTACCATGCTAACTTTGGCAGCAGCCACTCTGAGACCAAGATATTTTACGGGATGCACCAGAGGCTTGGGATTGTAGAATTGGCACCGCATGTGAATAGCCCCCGACCAGAGGCGCTAACAGATCGGGCTTGAATGAATATTTTTGCCGGTGGTCACGTAGCTATGTGTCAGATTGACGCAGACAAGGCTGGCAGGTAGAGATCTATGGACGATCTGTCATAAGTTTCTTGAACTCTGTTGCTTTGCTCTTGGGCAAGTTGGAGAGCAGACCCTGCGCTGCGATGTAGTTCCTACAATCTACTGTTTAACACGATTGTATATCTCGCACAGGGATATCAATCTGCTTATTGTATCTTTTTAGTGCATAAGAAGAGGTCAGATAAATGTTGAAAAACAAAGTTAAGGTGAACAGAAAAAGTGTAGACTACATCACATTGCCAAAAAAAGAAAAGAGATCAATGCATCGCAGGATACATTCTCAATCAAACAGTGGAGGAAAATACACAACCCTGGCCAGTTCCACCTTCAGCCACATCGAGACCCCATTCGGCCTTGAGGTCTGAAGTGAGTATACCCGATTTCTTGAGAATCGTCCCAGAAAGAGCCGGGATAGACTCACTAGTCAAGATCTCCAGGATCTGCAAATTTGCCTCCAACTCGCGGGTGATCCAGTTTCTGATTTCAATGGCGACCAGCGAATCCAGACCATAAACTGTGATAGGCGCAGCAGGATCAAGGTCTTCCCGCGGCCGCATAAGGATATTCGAGATCTTGGTGAGCACGGTAGCCCCAACGATGAGCTCGGCCGCTTCGCGGGTCTTCGATTGCCGGATAGCAATGGCCGGCGAAATCTCGGTACTGTTCTGCGCGGTCGTGGCCAATGCACCCGCGCCAGCGAGGGTGGAGAGGCGCAATAGGTGCGACAGTTTGGTATCGTTCACCCAGAAGGGCTGTGCACTAGCAGGTGTGGATTTGACGCCTTCGAACCCAGCCACACAGTGTCCCTCGAAGGAAACGTCGAACTCATTGCGGATTGCTGCAGTGACAAGACCGCGGATGTCTGTTGCATCAACGGACGCTGTGCCGAGTTGTTTGGAGATTGTCTCCCGCTTCCTTTCGTCAGAGAGGTATCCTATTCCGCGCACAATGGGTAGGTCGATTGTCGAACAGCGCATTTTGGCTGTCTCGGGATACTGGGAGAGCGCCGCCATGAAGGTTCCACTGGCGGCGTAGGGGGATTGACCCCTATTACCGACAAAGCTGGCGGCAGATGAGAGGCTGACGAAGAAATCGACGCTAGCATCGGTTTTTGTCAATGACTGCTGAACGTTCCAGATTCCGTTGACTCTGGGCATCATCACGGTCTGGTAGTCGGCGAAACTAAGCTTTTCAAAGAGGGTATCCTGGTAGAGGAGTTAGCCTTAGCGGATATTTGACCTGTAGTTGGTCTTAGAAACTTACCCGGAGAACCATAGCGCCGTATACAACACCACGAGCTGTAGGCATACGAGCGAGGAGCGGAACAAGATTTTGCTCCACGCTCTGCTTGTCCGCCACATCGCAGCGACATATTTCCACATTGACCCCCTGACGAGTAAGATCCCGGATAGTTTGCTGTGCCTTTTCAGTCTTGACGCCACCTCGAGAAACCAGGACAAGATTCTTGGCTCCCTTATCTGGTAACCAACTGGCAATGTCGAGACCAATACCGCCAGTTCCACCCACGATGACATATGAAGCATCAGCGCGGAGAAGATGTTCGTCCCTTCTAGCGGGATGGACCTGTACCGTGAGTTAGCAATCATCCGCCATAAACGCGACTGCTGTAAACATGAACAACCTTACCTTAACCATGGAATCATCCGTAGCCTGGACGATCAATTTTCCGATCACTTGTCCACCCTGCAGTGTCCGGAATCCAACCTCGACATCTGAGATGGGAAGGATGGTGACAGACCACCTTGACTGGGCGTTGGTATCGGCAAACAGCTTGAACACATCACGGAACAACCGCTTTAACAATTGTGGACGCTTCTCTCTGAGCAATGCCAAGTCGACAGATGCGAAAGAGATGTTCTTGTTGAAGTGAGCCATCTCCAACCGAGAGTTTGCCGTGATATCTCGCTTGCCGAGTTCAATGAAGCGACCAAATGGCGCAACACACTCGAATGTTGCTTGCAAAGCATCGCCACTAAGCGAGTTGAGAGCAACATCCACACCCTGACCACCAGTGGCCTGGTGAATGCCTTGTGCAAATGACATGTCACGACTGAAGAAAATATGTTCTTCCTTGAGCTGGTAAGTTTCCATGAGGAAGTTTTTCTTCTCAATACTACCAACGGTTGCGAATATCTTAGCTCCAACACTCTGAGCAATGATGATTGCCGCTTGGCCAACACCTCCTGCAGCGGCGTGGATCAAAACGCTCTCAGCTTTACTCAATCGCCCCAGGTCAATGAGAGAGTAGTAGGCACTACAGAACACAGCTGGGATCGAAGCTGCTATCTCAAATGGCATGTCCATAGGAATTATCCAGGATCCAGAGGCCGGGCAGCGAGTGAAAGTGGACAAGCAACCTGGTGACATGGCACAAACTCGATCTCCAACCTTGAAGTCGGATACCGCAGCGCCCACTTTAGTCACGACTCCACTACATTCTTGTCCGAGTCTGTCACCGTGAAGCTGGCCCATGGCCAACAAGACGTCTCTAAAGTTGAGACCGACGCTGTGGACCTTGATCTCAATGTGGTCTTCGGGCAGGGGTCCATTGAGGGAAACATCATCTGTGAAGTAAAGCTCGTCAAGACCCCTCCCGCTTCCGGCAGCAAGTCGCAAAGCGCGATCTTGTTTGAACGGCTGCAACTGTGGAGGTGCATCCGGTGTCTCTTGCTGGACACTGAGGTTCAATGTGTTGTTATCCACCAAGCGTGGCACACAAATATTGCCATTTCGGACAACAAACTCCCAGTCGTTCTGGGCCAGCTGCGATTTCTGGCAGAAGATTCCATTAAATACCTTGAGAATCTGGCCCACGGCCAAGGCATCAGGGATGTTCTCTCGTTCTCCCAGGTCAAGCGTGGCGAATTGGAGGCCAGTCTCTGATCTCACAGTGCGAGCCAGTCCAATTGCCATGTTGGCGCCGAGGGATTCCAGGTCGGTTTTGGTGTGACGAACAACCCACAGTAGACCTCGAGCCCGGCTCAAAAGGCGCTGCAGTGTCTGGAACCTTTTCTCGGTGAGGTGCGATAGGATCGAGCGATCCATTCCCCCAAGGAAAATACACCATTTCCCGGTCATATCAACCGCATCGGCGTTCGTAGCAGTGATGGGGTCAACACCGGTCATATTCTTGAGCCCATACTCGAGGCTAAGGGATGACAAGGTGCCGATCGACTCAATGCCAAGAATCACAACATCGCCAGCATTTGCGGGACCAGTTATTGGGCTGTTAGCGGTGGAAATCATCAGACAACCAGATTGGAAAGATGCTCCAGGGTACTCCTCGACACATAGGTCAATTCCAGAGAAGTCATTCTCCTTCATGACATTGCCCCATCCTTCGACAGTGAGGAGTGGTCCGTCCTTCCGGAACTTGTCATTGGCCAGCCACCATCCAGAGATGAGTGCGAATGGGAAATGCCGTGCCTTGGGGGCAGTTTCCTCGATGAGTAGGATCTTGCCACCAGACTTCAAAAGGGCTCGGATATTTGCCATTGTCTGGCTGATGTCAGAGGTAGCATGCAGCACGTTGCAGGCAACTACAACGTCATATGTGCCATTATCGAAGCCTTGCTCAGTAGGATCAGCCGACACATCTAGTGTCTGGTATGTCATGAGATGTCCCCAACTCTCGAACTTTGTCTTGGCTTTTTCAAAGAAGCCTGGAGAGATGTCGGTGTAGGTGTAATGCGCGAACCGAGGCGTAGATCCAGGTTCATGTCCACCCAGACTCTGCAAAATCGGCATAGTGACACCACCTGTACCAGCACCAATCTCGATGATGTTGAGTGTAGGGTTCTGGTGTGCCATCTTGTCAATGCAGACAGAGGCATTGGCATAGGCCTCACGAAGAGAGTCAAGATCACTATAGTATCTTCCAATTCCATCATCCTCCAGCAGTACAGTCAAGGCATCTACCTTGCCCCTGAGTATTTGAGGGAGCAGCTCTCCCACTTTATATGTCAACTCACCTGCTCCGTTGAATGTTCGGGTCTGTTCGAGAACGTCAACGGTCAAGGGATATTTGGTGTCCGCATTTTGGCAAGTTTTCTTGGCCCAATGATAGAATTTCTGACGGTGGGGCTCGAAGGTCGACAACTCGTCCTCTGTCACAGTTTTAACCAGCTGTGCAAGGTAATGCTCTGCCACAGATTCGAGCTGTTGCATTCTTTCAATGCCTTGAGCAACATCAGTCTCGGGGCGAGGGAGCTGTCGATAATCTTCGGCGGAGAGGAAATCGAAACAGGGCTCATATTGTACCCTGTAGCAAATCTGGTCCGGTGAGCTGTTCTTTGAGTCCTTGATATCGTTCGATACTGGTACCAAAGTGACACCATTAATGTCAATGATCAGATCCGCTGGGTTGTTGGGAACAGTGGCGAATATGCGGTTGGTCTCAGGATTGCTTGTGGATTCATTTCCTGATTTGTGACCATAAAGTTGCAGCACAGTACCGACACTGAGTTTGGGGCACAAGGAAACGGAGACTTGCTTGACATGCGATGGCACATGGGTGACTTTTGGCCCAGGCTCACCGTAACCAAGAAGGACCCACAGAACTTGACTACATAGATCAAGTGTAACAGGGTGCACAATGCAAGGGGTTTCATGCTGGTGGGGCATCACTGCTTTTGTGTCTGGAATACGGAGGGTAGCCATCGCTTGACCATCCCTGCTCATAGAGATATCAGTCAGTCCTCTGAAAAGAGGGCCGTACTGGACCCCACCGCTAGCTATGTTCTCGTAGAGGGCATTTCTATCCACTGGCGTGTTACATGAATTTTGCATCTGCAATGATTGTTGAGTGAAATATGCGGTCCTCTCGAGCTTCTGTCGAGACCCATCAACCGGATTGACGTCCTTGGCTTCTTGCACCATGACGAAACCATAGCAGTGTTGGTCCCATCCGCGGCCCTCAGCCCATGAGAAAACCTTGAACTCGTGCCAGCCGAGGACTGATTTACTGGGAGCTTCCGCTCGGGATGGTTTCAAGCTGAGCATGGTCTCGACAGATGAGTTGTCCGGGATAGTGAGAACGCGATTAATGAAGATATCGCGGAGATCGATCTTTCCGGGAGTAACATGATGAAGTTGTGCGTGTTGCGAGATAGCTTCCATAGCCATAGCCAAAAAGCCGGTCATTGGATACACAGTTCTGTCATGTACTCTGTGCTCGCGGATCCAGGGGTGGTCATCTGCACGAATGGTGTTCCTCCATCGAGGCTCGAAGTCGACATTCTCTATGCACAATGAGCCAAGGATATCACTCCTAGGGAATTGGCGATAGAGATGATTATCACCTAGCCGTGAGCTAAACCAGTATCTCTGAGAGTGGTTCCACGGGTATTTTGGCAAATTTGTCATAACAGCTGGCTTTCTTGTTGTTGTTTTCAAGTTCGGGAAGTTGATAGCCTGGAAGTCGAGATTCAGACCCTGCTTGAACAACGACCCAGCGAGGTTTTGAGCAGCCTCAATGTCATCTACCTTGCGTTTCAAAGTGTGAAGGTATTGCACATTAAGATCTGGGGCGTATTCCTGAGCAATGTCTTTGACGGGTGTTTGCAAGGCAGGGTGAGGGCCAATTTCGACTAATGTGCTGATTGGCGTAGCTGCCTGTTCATCGGTTACAAGGCTCTTCAGACCTTCCACAAACTCCACACGGGAAACCAGATTGTCGACCCAGTATGAGGCATCCAACGTGCTTCCTGGAACTAATTTTCCATAGACAGTCGAATGGAATGGAACCTCAGAGTCCCGAGGCGCAATCTTGCCGAGCAGGGATCGATATTCCTGTGATACAGTCTTCATATGGTGGGAGTGGTAGGCAACCTCGACCTGCAGTCTTCGGGTGAAGATCCCTTCTTTATCCAAGGCAGTCTGCAGATCAGCGATAACATCCGCATCTCCAGACAGAGTCACGCTTGACTTGCTGTTCACACAGGCAATAACAGCCTTGGTCCCTCGCATGGCATCCAAAATTTGTTGGATATCTGAAGCGCTGGCTCCAACCGCTAACATACCTCCCTTGATAGACTTGTCATTTACAACCAGATTTGCTGCGACACCACGAGAGTACGCCACCCGGACACACTCCTCGAGGTTTAGAATTCCTGCGGCATAAGCTGCTGCAATCTCGCCGCTGGAATGGCCTACCACTGCTTTGGGGCGAATACCCCAGGATGATAGCAAATCAACTAACGCCAGCTGGACTGCAGTACAAGCAGGCTGGCTCATGTATGCGGCGGAGATAGAGCTTGCGCTAGGATCGGTTAAAAGCAATTCATCTTTATGTGGGGCGTTAGTGTCTGAAAATGTCACTGTAGGCAGTGTTTAAATGAAGTTGAGACATACCGATAATTGAGAACGTAGCACCAAGGAACTTCAAGCAAGCATCCACGTCTTGCATGGTCTGCCGGAAGACTGGATAGGTACGCAATAGTTCTTTGCCCATACCGTGCCATTGCGCACCTTGTCCAGTGAACACAAAGCCGACAGTAGGCTCTTTGGAACAACGAACAGGGTCTGCATCAATAGCCAGCGATTGAGTCAGCTCCTGGCCAGAAATTGCAGAGGATATCAATCTCCATGGCAGGAATGTTCGCCGCTGCCCTAGTGTATAGGCCATGTTATCCATAGCGCTGTCACTGAAAATCACTGGGAAATGGTCGAGATGCGCTGCAATTGATTTTCCGATCTGAAGGGCAGCATTCTTGTCGTACGCAGAGACTACGAACAGCTTGCGCTTGAGAGGATCGTCATTGAATTCAAGATTGCCTTCACGTCGGGGAGCACACTGTAGAACGACATGGGCATTGGCCCCGCCAAAGCCAAAGTTGTTCACACTTGCGTATGGTTTGCCACGGGGCCATGGCGTCAGTTTCTTGGGAACCTATTTGGGTGTTTAGCAATGGTCGTCAATATTACGGGCCACTCCTGGATCTCACCTTCATATTCCACTGATCCATGGGTATCTCGTCATTCGCCTTCTCAAAATTGCAGTTTGGGGGTATGAAGCCTCGCTCGAGTGCCAGGGTTGTTTTGATCACAGAAATAAGACCACTTGCTCCTTCTGCATGACCAATGTTCGATTTCACAGACCCAACAAGCAATGGTTGACGCGGGCTGCGCCCTTTTCCAAAGACTGCATTCAACGCAGTGGCTTCAATAGGATCACCAACTTTGGTTCCTGTGCCGTGAGCCTCCACAAATCCTGTCATGGCCGGGTCTATCCTTGCCTCTTTATATACTTGACGTATCAATGCTTCCTGTGACTTGCCATTTGGCATTGTAATGCCTCTAGTGCGCCCATCTTGATTGATACCGGTGTTGAGAATTACAGATCGGATGGCGTCTCCAGCAGCCTCTGCATCCTCGAGAGACTTCAATATAACACATCCAGCGCCTTCCCCTCGGCCGAAACCTGTGCCGCGGTGATCAAAGGAATATGAGCGACCAGTGTCGGAAAGTAGTCTTTGAGGGGGTACCAATCAGCTTTTGTGTGTCAGGAGGACTGACAGTTGCACTTACCTAGCACGTGTCATGAAAACGAAATCCTCTGGGGTTATATTCAAGTGACATCCTCCCACAATAGCCATCGAGCATTCACCGTTCCGAATACTCTGAGTAGCCAGGTGCAGAGCAGACAAGCTGGAAGAGCAAGCTGTGTCAACTGTAACACTGGGCCCGTTCAAGTCGAAATAATACGAAACCCGATTTGCCTGTAATGCCACAGCCGTTCCAGTGGCAGCATACATGGGGATGGCCGAAATATCTCTGCTGTTGTTGATTTCGTAGTCGGAAAATGAAGCGCCTGTAAAGACCCCCACCTTTTGGCCGGTGATCTCATGGCTCGGGATTCCAGCATTCTCTAGCGCTTCATATGCACATTCGAGGAAGATTCGCTGTTGTGGGTCCATTGTCTGTGCCTCTTGCAGTGTAATATTGAAGAAGGGCGCATCGAACAGGCCAATGTCTTCTGTCAGGAAGTGGGCTCCAACTGCGTTGAAGGAGCCCGGTCGATCGGGATCAGGGTGATAGAAGGAATCAGCGTTGAACCTTTCCTTCGGGACTGGTGACCAGGCACTTCGGCCTCGTGCACAGAGGTCCCAAAACTGTTCGGGCGTGGAAACGTCTCCTGGGAGGCGGCAGGACATGCCGATGATGGCCGCTCGCTTTGGCACATCGCCAGTGGCATTGTCGGTGATATCGTTGAACTGCTCGGGCAAAGAGGTATTTTGGCTCTCGGTACTTGGTGTTCCAGTCCCGGAGGACTGTTGAAGGCGCATCTTTGATAGAGTAAGTGTTTGGTTTGAAGGCGTCGAATTATGTACCTAGCAGTGTGATCACCAATGTCCAGTAAGTGTCCAAAGAAACAATCAATTTGCAAGAAAGCAATATATAGAACAGTATAATCACGGGTCGTTCCAAATAGACAATCGATTGATCTAAGTACTTCCTGAAAGGCAGACAAGAAACGAAAAACGCGTCAAGACTATTGGTTCCAGCGTACAAACCACCCTTACATGACCATCCAAGCGTGTGCATGGCGATCCCTGTCCAGTAGTCGCCCCGATTGAAACACGGAATTCGATTTTGAGTTGGCCATGACAGGTTGAGAGCAGCCCCATGCCTCCAAGGCTGTCTTTGTTGGTGGCCCATGCACGAGCATCACCTCCACTCTTTTTCTTAGTAGTTCTCATAACTGCACATCAGAATCAGTAGATCTGGTCTTTCCGATGTCATGATGTCTTGGATAGCGCTTGTTTCGATGCCCTTGCTGAGGCGAGGGTGCGTACTCCATGCATTCCAGCCACAAGGGTAAAACACCCGATGCCCTGGCAGATTCTTGATGGTATAATTCCGGGCTGCCTCCTCGCGTCGAAGGCTCCTTTATATGGTGTAGGATACTTCGACTGGTATTTTAGCCTCGCGTTTTTCCCAAAAGATATTCCCCAGTTGATCTTGATCATCACGATGAAATTTCTATGCCTCCCAGGAGGTTATTGCAACGCCAAGGTATGTCAAGCAATTTATAATAGGGAATGAGATCATTTAGTTGACTTTGACTGTCCAGTGTTTCAAAACTCAGCTAGGTAAGCAGCAGAGGCGATATGAACGTTGGCAGAGACTAATGGTTCAGGGCCGTTCTGCGATGCCCTCGCATCCAATGGAAATGCCAGCTTCTATTACACACAGGGAACCACCGAGGTGTCCATCCCCCAAGAGTTCGCCGGGTTTTTCGGTCCACCGCCCCATTATACCTTCATGGATATCGAAGGGCATCTGGCCCATATTAACATGAGGGACTTCCCAAAACGCGATACTCCGGAAGAGACAATCAAAGCCGCCACACAAGCAGCAGGCGATCCCACATTCACTTCCATCCCCAAAGTCATGGACCGTCTCATTGGCATTCTTGACAGTGAAGACGACATTGATGGTGTGATTGGCTTCTCTGAAGGAGCCCAAATTGCAGCATCGCTTCTTCTTGAAGAGCAAAGAAGAGAGAGAGAACTTGGTCGGATGCCTCGAATTAAATGTGCGATCTTTTTCAGCGGATGGCCACCAGTACACCCGGTGACTGGCAGGTTTGTTACGGCTGAGGACTATGATGAAGAACCGATTACTATTCCAACCTGTCATGCTGTGGGTGCGTTAGATCCGTTCATTGATGGGTCAATGGCACTGTACAATATGTGCGATCCAGACAAAGCGGATCTGTTTGACCATGGAGCAGGGCATTTGATCCCAAGAGATAAGCAGGTTACAGAGGAGGTTGCTATGGTGGTACACGAGATGATCAACTGCACAGCTTAATTTGTATAGCAATTATACACCAATACACCAAAAGCGACCCCGATGGGTTGGATTTACACTGTATTTCCAAGATATTGGGTGCATTTCATTTTCAGCGCGTAAATATAGTATAGCAATCGCCACCTCACATTCAAGTCTATTCCAACAGTGGCCTTGTCTCTGCTTCCTCTTCCTCCTCGACTTCTGTCTGAGCCTCTGTCCAACTCCATCGAGGAAAGAAACCGGCAATAGACCCAAGCCCAAGATTCCGACCCCTCCACCCAGATGACCTTTCCTCTTGGTCAGGCTGTTCATACTCTGCGTCCTTCCAATGCCATCTGGTCCGATACACGAGCCACACCAATGCAACCCCAACCGCACCCAACACCGTCGTCGTAAGCACAGCACCCATTACTGATAGAACAGTCAAAGTGCTAGCCTTACACCCAAACGGCCGAGCTCTCAGTTCCCATCTCTCCTTGGAGCCAAGGGGACAGATACTTGCTGAGCCGAAAGGCGCAAATATTGGAACCCCCGATGGATTTGGAACACAGGTCGAGGACTATAGCATAACAATCAATGGTCAGTTTCCTCCAGCATGGATTAGAAGATCATGGGTCTTGTTGTGTCGATCAGGTCAAAGCGAAGGAGGCAGTAGAGGCCCGGGGTAGGTATCGGCTTGATACTTCTGCCCGCATTCTGGAGGGGGACGCAAGGGAGATGTGAAAACAAATACGACGGGGGGCTTGCACATATAGAGTTAAAATGATAGGAAATGGACAGAAGGAGAGAATCAAAATTGACCACAAACGGAAAAATGAAGAGAGAATGTGACCTACTATAGCACACCAGCTGCAGGCAACCTCACCAGTTAGGCAACTTGAACATGACTGTCGACCCCAGCAAACATGGAAGAGCGGATCGCTGGGGTCTGGGTTGTTCAAGGGGCTACTGGCGTTTCCCTCATCCATATTACTATCTAAAGGAGAATTCCATATAACGTTCCCGTGATATGTGCTTGTTCCTGTTCCGATCAATGGTCAGACTTGCTCCCTTGCATTGAACGGTCAACGTACTTTGCCCCTGCTAAGTTGTGGGGCCAATATATCGTGACGGTGCGAGAATTGTGAAAAATCACTTTTACTTTTATACTTGATTCGCAAGTGAAACAGGCGACATTATGAATTAGATCAAAGTTGGCGAAGTCGTATTGTCTCCGCACTTTTGGTACTTTTGCCACTACGGACAACTTACCACGCAAGTATACAAGTCCCACATGATGGCATGATGGTTTGGGTCACTGTGGTACAGATTCATATTATATAGACTTGATCGCATGACACCGCGTGAAAACGTGATAAATTTATCCTGGTAAATCGCGCTGAAAACGAACTGGCCGTAAAATACCAAAATCCACTGCCGCTCGTCGATGCATAGCAAAAGGGGAAAGGACATGTTTTTGATCAATGAAAGACGGTAAGCATGGTTTAAACCACGCGCTTGACCTACATATTGATCATTAGTATCTCATCTGCCAGGACCTCGATCAAAGAAACCCACGTACCTCGAAGAATCTCTTGAGCCACCACACCTGGAACACACCCTCGCCAATAACCACCATAAGCTGAAACATACTCCACCATTTCACACGGCCGTTGGTGCTCTCTGCGGTATTACGGTGTACTCGCTCGCGCACGACAATGTATGACTGCTCGTCCTTGACCTGAGTCAAAGCCTCGGTAAGTTTGCGCACTAGATGGTACCAGATGATCAGTCTCAATATTCTTCCGTCAGTTATTATATTCCCCGCGCTTACCTTCGACCTCGAGGGGATCCTGCGTCATCTCGCTTTCGGGCACGTAAACAATTCCGTGAACGTTGAAGGAGACCTCCTTGGAGTTCGAGGTCCAGCCCTCGTTGCTGAAGCAGTAGTTGTATTTTCCATCGGCTTGTGCGGTGAACGAGTAGTCATCGGAAGCAACGGCTTGCTTGAAGTACTGGCGGTTTCTCAGGGGATCCTCGACCTGGGGAACCGAGCGTTAGTATCTGCGTTCTCAATTGGAATCCTTCCTCCATCCCAATGTAACAGCTGGACTAGTCCCTAAAGGCGTAGAGCTCTCTATTTCCGGGTCCAATATCCCATGCCAGAACCACCATCGGAACAGAAGGAGACTCCCGAGCGATACCAAATCATTCAACACCAAGACCCGAACAGGGATATTTCATACCCAGAAGTCAACCTCAAGGTTTCCACTTCCTCCAAACTCCCGATCTCCAACCTGGAAAGTGACAGTCATGACATCGTCACGGTGCAGTGACTCGTGGAAGCATTCTCGTGAGTGAGCCTTGAGCTGGATAGTGTGTGCGGTCGCGGCGGTGATCCATCCCAGCGCAGTGACCAGGATCGTGCTTGTTGAGAATCGCATGGTGGGATGTTTCGATTGACTCCGGTGAGTCTGGGAGAATTGACGAGTGAGTGGGTTGGTGATGTCGGTGTTGGTTGTCAACGCGCAAGGTGTCAATTGGCGCTCGGACCACTTTCATAAACACCGCTCCGCCTTAGGATTCTTAGCTCGATGTATACTACAAAGTAGAATTGGGTGGATTTAGAATGTAATATGGATAATTGGTTTTTCTGTGTCTATTTATTGATTTTCTCGAGTCTCCTATGACATTCATATTTATCCAAATGATGGGTTAAAGTTAGACAAGTCATACTAAAAAATATATATTGTTGCACTATCAACTACCTACCCACGACCTTGTTCATCGAAACGCTTTAAGCGACTAAATTCCGGACACCAAGAAAGGAAATATCACAGTAATGTAGAAATAGTCTGAATTTATCTGAAAATAATAAACACTTGAACAGTAATAAGCTACAAGAAACGTAATGGCGAAGTGTGACTATCAACACAGCTATATCCGACATCACAAAAAACAGGGAGGTGGAAGGATAATATAGAACAATCAGAAAGCAAAGAATGACAGAGATTGGCTATTAGTATGTATAGAATGGATGTAAACGATAGGACATGAAAAAAGGTAGGATATTCAATGTACAAGATCTTCAGGATGGGAGGGAGGTAAAAAAACGAAATAACGGCGTGGTATCAAATCCGAAAACGCAAACATTGGTCAACGACCATGAAGCCGGAAGATAGGTATGTATGTCGAAAGGGGGAATATGGATGTAACGAGAGGAGAGAAACTGGCGCTGGCACCAAACGCAGAGATAGCAATAAACGATAAAAGCAAAAAATATCACAGATCAAGAATTCTGTAATGGTTATTCTGGTGGAAAAAAAACCAAAGAAACACCGAGATGAGATGGGAAGTTCAAAACAGTCTATGGGTAACGATCAAAGGCGACAGAATCACTCTTCCTCAGTGGAGGGTTCGTCAGAAGAGGAGACGTCAGTGTCGGCCTGAAGATCGCTTTCTTCGGCTTCAGCCTCATTGATCTGAGGCCCAAATGGACCTTCATCGTCCCTCTCCTTCGGCGAGGCCGAAACCATCCCATCAACGGTACTCTCATTTTCATCCGCGAAGCTCCCATCATCGTAATGCGCCGGCTCGGCGTCATGATCATAGCTCGAGCGACGGAGAAGAGGCGGTGTTTGAGGTGGTTCCGTGATAGGTGCCTGGCTGCGGACCGAGCCGCGTCTTGGGCCTCTCAAAGGGCGAGTTTGCGCAAACCGCGCGGCAGCGCTAGTCTGCTGGCCAGTACCGTGCTCTCGGGCGTGAGAGCTCGGGGGTGTTAGCAGGCCTGACAGGAAAGTGCTCGCGTTGCTGGGCTTTGATGGGGTCTGGTCGGAGGTGTTGGCGGATTCGCGGCCTTTCCGCCAATTTCCCCAGGCAGCAGCTGCAGCTAGGGGGAGGGAGCGGGGCGAGGCGGCAAGGTCGGCCAGGGAGGAGAGATGGCCGGTTGTTAGGCGTTCCTTTTCTTGCTGCTGCATTTGGAGGTTGGCTTTGAGACGGATGGCTGCGTCGCGGACGGCTTGCTGATTGAATGAGGGCTTGGACACAGTCTGGATTATGTCTTGCAGGTCGTCGATGCGGACGCCTAGGAGTTCACGGAGCCAGGTGATCTCGGTGTCCTTCTCCTTGAGTTTATTTGGTGCGTCTTTATCTATCGTTGAGACCTCTTGTTCAAGCTCCTCGATGCGGGTCTCGCGCTGCTGGAGCTGGTCCTGGAGAACGAAGATTGACTCGCGAAGGGCTTGTGGAGAGATCCGTTCGGGCTCTTCGGATCCCTTGTTGTAGGACATGGACGGTGTCGCCCCCGAGTGTGATGGTGCGACAGCTGGGGCTGAGCTGGGGGTTGCCTTCGCGCTGTGGGCTGCCTCAGCAGCAGCACGGGCAGCAGCCTGAGCGATCTCAAGCTTCTCTTCGAGGAGGTTCACACGCTCTTGCAGATGCTTAGCTTTCTCCTCGGACAAAGCCATGCGCTCCATGTTTTGAGTCTCACCGCGCGCACGATCCTCTGAAGAGTTATGCAAAGCGCGAGCGTGACGTTCACGCAGATCATTGAGAATACGCTCATGCATCTTGCGGGTCTCATCAATGGCAAGGTCCTTAGCAGCTAGGGCAGTGGTCTTTGAGTCCCTGGCTTCCTCGAGGAGAAGCTCGTAGCGCTCGCGAGTGGTATCGGTATCCATGCGGTTGTTGTCAAGTTGAGTCTCTAGACAAATGATCTGGGCCTCAAGCTCGGCACGCACAATGTTGACCTGGCTGTTAGAAGCTTCGAGGTCTGCCTCCATCGAAGAGCGAGTGCGCTGGATTTCGGCACGGCTGCTCTCGCGGGCTTCGATGAACTCCCGCTCGAACCGGGCAGCCTTGATTTGCAGATCATGGTTCTCCGCCCGGAGACTGGTAATCAGCTCCTCTAGTCTAGCATTCTCTCGTTGAGATTGCTCCTGGATGAACCTCAGTTTTGTGGCCTCCCGCTCATTCTTTTCGAATTCGCGGACGTCCTCCTCGAGCTTCTCGCGCAATTGCAGCTCACGAGAGTGCGACGCGCGAAGCTCATTATACCTAGCTGATTGCTCCTCCTCCTTTCTGCGCCAGGTAGCTTGATCGCGAGTGATTTCAGCAGTGACACTGAGCATGTCATCTTGAAGACGATCGAACTTTTCAGTGAGGTTCTGGCGCGAGATCATACTGTCCTCGATGCGAGTTCTCAGGTGATCAATAGTCTCATGAAGGGACTTGTTCTCACCCTTAGTAGTCTCCAATTGACGGCGGAAGCTATCGCTAGAAAGACGGTACTCGTCGAGGGTACCCTCAAGCGCGATGTTTTTCGTAGACAGCTCGGCGATAGTAACCTTGAGAGTCTCACTCTCTTCTGAAAGAGACTCAGTACGGAACTGCATCTTTTCGAAGTATGGAATCTTCTCTTCCTTGAACTGGAGGAGACGAGACTCGGCATCCTCTGCTGCAGCACTATGACGAGCAGCATCTTCCTCCGCAAACTTCAACAGTCGCTGGAGCTCAGAGATAGCATCCTGTGCATCGCGGCGCTCCTTATACTCCTGCTCGGCACGCTCATCAGCGATCCGTAACATGCTCTTAAGGCCGTCGATTTGGAGCATAAGGCTATCGGCACCGATCTCCTCGGCCTCTGACAGGCGCGGGCTCGGGGGTTTCTGCAAGGCGACCTGCTGAGCCAATTGCTTGGCCATGGCTTCCTCCATAATCTCACGCATATCACCAACAGGGTCCTGAGCGAGCTTCTTGATCGTGAGGGCCTGCAGTTCAGCAATGCTTTCCTTGAGCTGCGCCATCTCGCTGTGGCTGGAGTGCGGGGAAACACGTTGAGGGATGTCATGGGTAACCAAAGCTTCCATGACGACATTCTTGAGCATCTCCAGCTTACGTTCCCTCATGTTGTGGGGCGAGCGATCGCGAACCAATGCTTCCTCGCCATCGTCGTCCTCATCATCGGCATCACTGTCTTCCATCTCAGCGGATGTGCTGCGGAAGACCTTTCTGCTTGCAGTGTCAGTGGCAATAGAAGCCACCGACTGCTGAATAACAGCCAAGGCACGTTCCATAGGACCCAAGCGTTCGTCAATGGCGGAGCCAACAAGATCGTTGATGCGACGGTCGAAGAAACGGTTACGGTTCATGAACTTCTCGTCTTCTCCGGCAGAGATCATATCATCCCAGTCACTGACATGGTCATTCTCAGTAATAAGGTGGCGAACAGGGGACTGAAGACGGGATATGAGGCTCTTCTGCGGAGAGAAGGTAGCATTGCTGTTGGCATCATTGTCCGAGCCAAGCTTGGGAATGCTGAGCTTGTAGGTCTTGGGGACTCCACCGGGACTCGGGCTCGGGGCTTCGCTTCGGGCCTCCGCAGAACCAAATCGTTGTTCTTTTGTGGGACCGCCCATCGACTCGGTGAGATGGTCGTGTCGCGGTTGGAAGGGAGTCGCGTGGATTGTGTTGTAAGGAGTCGCTTGGCGCTCGATGCCGACATCTGCGTCGTCGTCGTTTAGCTGTTGCATAATTGCATTCAGCTCCTCATCGTCAGGAGAGTCGTCCTCCGAGTCCCATGGGCTGTCGTAATGCTTGGGTTTGCGAGTGATGAATTCTGGCTCCACGCGGGTGGGAGTGTTGACCTCGGGTTCTGGTGAGGTTGCCTTCTTAGGTGGGCTTGTGGTAGCGAAGCGAGAAGCCATGAGTCCAGCTTGCATGGGTTTACTTGCAGTGGGACTCTTGGCAGGAGTTCCGATGGGCTGCTCAATAACCTTTTGCTCACCAAAGCTAGATGGCTGAACAGTTGTGGGAACAAATTCAGAAACAGCAGGCTTGAACTCGAAAGGCTGAGCGTTAGCCGACAGCGTCGTGCTCTTGACCGGGCTCTTGGATGCGTGAGGAGCATGCTCGACGGTCTCCGAGACAGTGACAGACGTATTATCTCCTGCTGCAGGTTCCCTTGGTTCACGCTCTTCGATAACAATGTCTTTAGATGCCTCCGCCCGGATCGGTGATCCAGTTTGGGACCTATTCTCAGCCTCACGCTTCGCATCGAACAAGGTCCAAGTGTCGGCTTCGCTGACAGGAGTACCCGTCCGCTCTACAGGGCTGTTCTCCTTAGGCATGGCATTCTCCTTGCCCTCAGCGACTGCATGAAGCGCACTCGAAGCTTGAGCGTTCCTCGCCTCACCCAGAGGGTTACTCGAAATACTATATCTAGCCTCGCCTTCGGCGTGGCCGACACCGCGACGCGCACGCTTGTGACGGTCGGTAGGCACAGATCGACCATTAGTGTCGTCTTCAACGGCCTGCTCATTGTTATTGTTCTCCTGTTCGGTCTCATCGGGCCGCACAATAGGGATAGCCTTGGACGTCTTGTCAGGGGTGGTGATCTCGCTGATGTCAATGTCGCCAAAGATCTTGGTGTGGCTAGCCGGAGGCTTCTCAGAGCTGACATTCGAGTTGAGGCTAACAGTGGGGTTGGGATTGAAAACAGGTGCATCGACATTGAACGATGCGGCGGAGAACTTGAATGCGCCACTACCACTGGCGTTGTGGTTCTGCTTTGGGACTATTGGGCCGTTCATGCTGCTACCAGGCGTGAACGAGGGAGGCGCGGCAAACCCGAACCCTTGCCCACCCCTACCGCCAAACTGGAATGGGTCATTACCGAACGACACGGGCTGGGAGGTGAACGACGCGGTAGGGTCAAATTCCTTGGCTGCGACATTGAGTGATGAAATCGAGAGCCGCGACTGATGGCCGGCGTGGTAGGAGTTACCGCTAGGCTGGGCCTCGTGCCACGGCCCTTGGCGAGTCTGCGGCGTACCTGCAACACTGGGGTTTGTGTCGAGATCAGAAACATCCTGGCCATTGTGTTGTTGGTATTGGTCTCCATAGAATTGGTGAGGGAGCTGGTGCTGGGCGAAGGAATGAGGTGGGAGATGGACAGGATTTTGAGCGTGGTGTTCATTTTCTGGCAATCCCCAGCGCGACTTCAGCATGCCAGAATTTAGGCCTGCATGATTGGCATCACGGTAATCATCCTCCAATTGTCGGTCGATTGAGTCTTCCAGATGGTAATCGGTGTGTGTCATCTGGTCCAGTCCTCTTTGCAGAGTTTCGCTCAGATTATGACCGTGGCCTCGAGGTGTAGGTTGGGCAAGCTCGACGTTCGATGCGTGGAAATTATCTGGGTGTCCATTGACCGGGGTCTGGGGAGCCTGGTATGGCAGGCCTTCCTGGTGCATGCCATGGCCAAATTGATCATCGAAGGCACCCTTATCATTAAACCCTGCGTGGAAGGACCCTTGGTCATGTAATGGGGACACTGGTGATAGCACGGAGGAAAAGTTGCCCATTGCCCCTGGGCCTGCTGATGAACTTGCCTGCCGGGGGTTCAAGAAGCCTTGGGGAGTCATAGATCCCTGAGCAGGAGGAGTGGGCTGGTATTGGAAAGGGAACCCGCCCATCATATTTTGCTCCGCGCCCATGAATGGCGTCTGCATACCGAATTGTGAAGCAGGTGATGCCATTGAACCCATAGCACCAGGCGTAGGTATCGATGGTTGGTTGAAGTGAGGCGAGAATGGGTGAATATGGCCGAGGGGATTGCTTGCTGCAGACGCAGTAGGGATTGGCGGGGAAGCGATAAGACCTGGGAAAGGAGTGCCGCTGGGGTTGAGCGAGTAATCGGGTGAAATAGACTGTTCAGGTTCATCGTCACCGAACGACACTCCTAGGGCGCGCAGCTTTTCTTCTTGGAGCTCGGTGATATAAGACTCCCACTTGGCTCTGTCTGGGAAGTTGACGACAAGCGGTTGGCTTTTGGAAATTTCATGGAGGTCATATGGGTCGGGATATAGGGGTCGGCTGAGACCTCCTAGAGTCGCCGTGGTGGAGGGGTCCTCGGAATCGCCAATGGTGAACCCACGAACATCGTACCCTTCGTTCTCCCATTCTTGCATCCGCTTTTGAACGTCGGCCGGTGTTAGGAGATGATACCCAGGTTCCGAACCTCTCTTATCAACATATGGCAGCTCAATTATACAGGCTTTCCCACGCCAATTCAACTTCTTTCTCCGCCGTGGGGTTTGGGTGGCTGATCTGCTGATATCGGAGACCTGGGTTTTTAATGGAGCCGGATTGAACGGGTCTTCCAACTTTGGGGTGTCCTCCATTGCGTTTGCCGGTGGAGGAGGTAACGGCTTCTCTACCGAAGATACCGGCGAGTTTACCTCGACGGTTGGTGTGTTCAAGTCGGACATATTTTGTGGTGGATCTTTGTCGTACGCGAAACCCCAAAAGTCCTCCTGTCGCAGGGTATCAGCGCGTTTGTGCAAAGTTTTGTTGACTTTAGCACGCGCGGCTTTTTTCCCGACGAAATCAGAGAGCGTTGGCGTTTTCAACAGATCTTCGGAACGAAAGTCGTCTTCCAGACCAAGCCAGTCGTCCGAAGCGTCGTCGGCAAAGTGATTCCTCGCAGTGATGAACGACGGTGCTTCACTCCCTGAGTCGTCGCTGAGCCAATTGCTGCGTTCCGTTCTAGGTTGACCGGTAAGGTACTGGTTGATCCAATCCTGCGTAAATTCCCGTATCGATTTTTCTCCGTTATTGGCGATGATATCACGGTCCTCGGGTTCAAGTGTGTCGTCGTTGGCGGCACTGGATCTCCGGAACTCGGTGCGGTTGGCTATTGACGAGACGGGTGAGCTGGGACCAGATCCGTCGTCGATCCCAGCAAATTCGTGTTGGCTATTTGTCACTGAGAGTCTCCGTGTGCTGGGTGCTGCATATGGGGATCCCCACGCCGTGGTGTAGTATATGCTACTTTCCGCCTTGCGATTGACCGGCGAGGAGGCCCGAGATTCTTCAGTTGCGCGATATGAGGATAAAAATGGGAGAGGCGGGGGCTCGAGGGTGATGCTCCGCGGAGAAGCTTGTTGACCGAGGGAACCAACGGTCGACGGACTCGAGTCTCCTGATGGCGGAGAGGACAAGAGTAGTGAGGGAGCCAGACGCGATTCACGGACAAGGCGCGTGTCCCGCGAGTGGAACTGTGGAGAAGATGCCGAGATGGCGGAAGAGACGGAGTGATCTAGATCTATAGTCATCCAGGATGGTTAGACTGGCATATTTGGAGGGGTCAAGAGCGATTGCAGGGAGTTGAGGAATGAAGTCCAAGTCGCGTGGCAACGCGGAGTAACCCAATTCCACAATCCGGATAAAGGGTCAAAAAGAGAGAGGGCATCAATGTACACACACCTTCCGTGTCGACTCCTGCAGCAAGCACTTGCTTGCCGCTCCGCTTATCGTCCAGAATGTTGACGCATGGAAATCAAACTGGAACTGAAGAACACCGCTGGCAAGACAACCTGGGGCGAAATAATGTGCAGGTTGTCCTTTTTTTCTCTTTTGGGGGATAGGTACAATCTGCAAGCAGATAAAAAGAAAAGAGAGATCAGAAACGCTCGAGTTAGAAGCACCAAAGACCAGGATTGGGAACTAAGGGGAAAAAAAGGTTGGACGTCACGGGTATTGGATCGTCGTACTGGGTACCTGCTAGAGTGTGGGAAATGCGAGCTAATGCGGTGTACAGGGTACCATAGGCCCATTCAACTAATTATTTGGTTAGCGCAGAAGCCGTTGGCTTAGCTTGTCTTTTGGCTTGGCTTTTCTGACAATGTCAATTGCTACTGTATGCATAACGTATGCCCTCTGATTCAGACCCTTGCCTTCAGGTCAAACGTTAAGGGTATACTATGTTTTCAAACCCCCTTACATTCCAAAACTAAAAGTAAACAATTGACTCCAATTTTAATTGGAGATCTAAACAGATTCAGGGGTAGAATCGAGAGCTTCCATGGATTCGACCGTACCACCCCCGGGGCCGTTCGCGGGTATTAGCATGACTAATGAGTTGCGTCCTCATTCGCCAATCAGAGTTTATTCTGCAACAAAGCGTTCCAGGGTTCGCGCCTTTCATGCTGATTGGTGAGGATTTATTTACGGGCGCCGGATCGTGCCTGTTACGCACCCTCTAAGCTCAGTCTGGTCCTTTTCTTACTGAGCGCTCTGGTTGAGACGCCATAGACTACTATTGGGGATCTGCTCTTTACTATCATATGCACGAGAACTCTGGCTTGTATCTTGATGCAATAGCATTGTCCCTGTCCTATTTCGCTCTAAGGGAAATTGCTATATAACACGAATTGACAGAGCTCGATGTAGATTTGCTCAATCAATCTTGATCAAAACTTTAGCAAAATGTTTCTTCTCCGCGAGACGCCTGTATGCACTCTTAGCCTCGGTTAGCTCAAACACCACATCATCGACCGCCGGCACAATCTTGTGGTCATCAATGAAGCGAACCAACTCCCGGAATTGGTTGCGGCTGCCGGCCAGGATGCCTCGAACAATGCACGTATGCAGCAGAGCGGCGAACATAAACACATCATCAACGGTAGACTCCCCAACCTGACCAATGGCCAAAACAATTCCATTCACCCGCACTGCCGCCAAAGACTTAGGAAGTGTTTCATTGCCGCCAACACCGTAGGGATGACTAGTTCGCGATAGTTTAAACTTGCAGCATGCATGCGAACAAGAATCTCGTGGGAACCCAATTCGTGAGCTGATGGTATCTTCACATCCTGCTGGTACTCTAGGGAGGTCTCGAAGCCTTCTTGGCTCGTTAGAACCCATTGTCTGGCCATTTTTCAAATTGTCGTGGTGATGTTGGGGAAATGAAGGGGCTTGCCGTGGTGATAGAAGAATATATCGAAATTTGAAGGGGCCAAGGACATCATTCAAGTAGCTCTGGAAGAACGGAAAGGTTCTTTGATTTCAAACAACTTCCAATCTGACTTTCCTAATTAGGAATATCAGATTGAGTGGCGCTCCACGGTGATTGGTTGCGGGAGTATTCGGTCCATTTACCGACAAGGCAGCATAAGCTCCCAGGGACTAAACGCTCATGCTTGTAGAGGAACTAAGCCAGCGAGAAGGTTCTTGTTTGGCTTCGAACAACTCCCACTCTAATTTTCCTAATTAGGAAAATCAGATTGAGTGGCGCTCCATACTCGGGAATCGGTTATTCGTTCAATCCTCAAGCTCATTAGCGACATAGTATAGTTCACGCCAGAGAGCTTGAAATCGCCCCATAAGAGTGGACTCGCTAGTGTTATACTTATTCTGCAGGAGGCTGAGTGGTCTGCTCCAACCACGTAACTGCAGCGCTCGCACTTCCCGGACCAACCTGTCAACAAACCACATTCTAGCTAGCGAGTCTTCCTCGGCGGCAATGGCTCCAATCATCAGCGGAAAGGAAGTCAAATTCATGTAGGAACATCCTTTGAGCGGTAATCGACTTATCGCTTCTTTCAGTTCCCCCGCAAGGAGGGTTAGGTAAGCCCCTGACCACGATGGCCAGAGGAGATAGAGCACCAGTTCGATCGCTCGTGCAATGGCCTGGACATATACATCGTCAACGTCTCGGAGATCCCGTACATCGTAATGCAGCTGGGACAATGGCTCCTCGATCTCTCGTGCCACCACAGTTGGATCGAGTCGATGCTGATGATGAGACTCGATCGTTTTCTGGAGCTGGATCACACTGTCACAGATTCTCTTTATTCCGAGGATTCTCTGATCATCGTAATCGATCAAGGCTTCGAGAATACGCTCATGGTACACTCGTGGCGTTTACGGAATCTCTATGGAAAATGGTCAGTTGTGGGCTCATCCCAAGGGTACATGACACCAACTGCACAATCAGATCTATCATCCATGGTGGCGGCGCATTCATGGCGCGAGATTTTCTATCTTTGATCATATGCGCGAGACCAATGATATGAATATTCCAAGCCATATCGTCCCGTTCCAGAGTTGCCCCGAATGCTAAGACAATGACCGCGCCGAGGACACCCTCCTTTTGAGCCCCTGTCGACATAATTCGGTGCTTGATGAGATGGACCGCGGCGTATGAATGCCGATACGCTTTCAATTGCCATGCGTCATCGGGCGACCAGTGCCGTACAGCTACCGCCATTGTTGCTTCGGTTAGCACTGGGTACGAGGCAACAAGGTTAAACCACGCTGCTTCATTTGCGTTGCCTGGAGAGTGTCTGCCTTCTAGGAAGACTAGCTCTTGGATCCTGTGGACTGCCAAGCATGAGCCAATGTTCTATAGCTCTTGGTAATCGAAACTTACAAGCTGTTGTCTCACGGGCTAAATCGGGGACAGTGGGTATTGGGGACAATAGTGTGATGGTATGGTTGCTCTCGGGGTTTTTGCTCGCTCTCAACCACGGCGATTGATCTTTTCTCTGTCCTCTTGGTTTTTCTCCGGTTGATGGAGCATGCTGGCGTCGCTTGGCGAAGTTGGTTTTCGTGATATGCGCCCTCATTCGCTTCGCAGCCGGCGGAGAGACTAGACGCACCTGTTGTATTCAAGAGGATAAAGGATGGTTGCGCCATTTCTGATAGTAGTTGAAGAGTGCGGAGGGCGTGCGCGTCTACTATCAAAGTACAAGTTTAGTTCTTGGCTATGGATGGCTCACGGGCTGACTTTGAGGGAACTACGCGCCCCATCACAAATTAGGTATCTTTTGTATGGTATGCCCACACGAAAAGTACAAACATAGTGTGTGATAGGACGAGTGGCACCCCGAAACCGGACTGTACATTGATTGCACTGAACATCCAATCCCATTTTGGATAGGACATGTTCTCAGCTGTTTCGGAGTTTGGCACTGGAGAGTTGGAACTGGGATTAGAGCTCAATACCCAAAACTTGCTGGATTTGGCCTGAACCCCGAGGTAAAATAGAGAGCCTGACTCTGTGTATTCTCATTAAAGCAGCTAAGATAAGCTAGCCTAAACAGAGGGAATCCGGTATAACTACGTACGCAGATGAGCCCTGAAGGAGTATAAGTAATACCATAGATTAATGGAAGGATTCTCTGGGACTATCGAGCTGCAATGTCCTTCCCGCCAAGTTTCCATTCTCAGAAAACCAAGCTCTGGCACTAGAGAGATTTGCCCAGCTTTCAACTAAAATGCTCAAAAAAAGACAAACAACCGCTTTGCACATATAACAGGATAAGTATAGGAATCCCAGGACACGTCGGAAAGATGATGGGTAGAATTTGTAGAAGCCACCAAGATAAAGCGTAACCAAGGAAAGATATGCCGATAATGATATGTTCGATCCGCGCCGGTATTGAATTATGTCCGTAGGCGTGCACGAGACAACAGCATGCTCCGCTTGAGCGAAGAATCTGCAAGGTGGTCATGCAAGAAATATATCCCATGGAAGAAAACAAAGCCATGTTTCAGACCTCTACAGGGCGTAGGGGTTAACAGATCGAACAGTGAGGCATCTAGAATAGAAATAGCAGTTAGTTAGGAATGCTCATGCTAGAGAGAAACAAAAAGGGGGAGAATGGAAATACATACGGAGGACTCTTGCTCAGGTCGGTCTTCAGGATGATGGGAACACGGGTCATCTCGGTGACATCCTGGATGAAATCTCCATCCACCTCACGCAACTTGAACAAGTTCAAGTACTTCTCCTTGTTGGTCAATTTGTTCTCGGGTGCATCGCCACTGCCGGAGGCAATCTTGGGGTCCGAACGAGTACGGTGAGGTCCCTGCTGGTGGTGGCCGTTGCGCGTAGGCGACGGGGGCATGCTCTGAGTGGAACGGTCGGCGGAGTTGAGCGACACACCGGCTGCCATTTCAGTGACATCATCCACATCTTCATCGTCATCGAAGAGGGCGTCGACATCATCCGCAGACATTGTACCAGTCTCGGTCTGCTTACGCATGGCCTCATCACGCTCTCGGGCCCGCTCTCTGGCGGCTTCGGCCTCGCGAGCAGCCGCTGCAGCTTGAGCAGCACGGGAATTACCGGGCTTGGGACGCTCGTCCTCGGGAATGTATGCGGAAGAGGGAACACCCTTCTCCCAGTACAGCTCGAGTACACGACTATCCTTGCGGTATTCAGCCTTCTTGAGCGGCAGCTGGTCACAGTGCACACGCTTTTCAAAGCCGTACTCCGGGATAAGGACGTCGAAGGCAGACTCGTAGACGCAGAGTACAATGCCCTCGCTGATGAGATCGCCGCCAATCTCGCGACTCTTACGGTCCATCTTACGGCAGGCCTCAATGTGCACACTCTGCTCCTGGGCATTGAGGGCCGAGTCCTTCTTGTTGTTGCAAAGATCGGCGGTCTTGTTCAGTGACTCGATATCGTCATTGAACTCCACGGTACCCTCGGAGAGCACAGCCTCGAGTTGACGGTGCACCAGGATATCGGCGTAGCGTCGAGAGGGGTTGGTGAAATGGGTGTAAACCGGCACATTGAGCATGTAGTGCTGGCGCATTTCATCGGGAGTACCACTGCTGACATAGTACTTGGCACGCTGCATGGCCTTGGCAATGAGAGTCTCCATACCCTGCATGGTGTGTTAATATATGCATTTATAACAGTGAGAACAACAGGAAAAGCACTGACCTTACGAAGATCGACATCTTGCACCTTGCAGAGAGAGCTCTGGAGGCTGCCACTGCTGCTTGAGTCCATTTCGAAGCCAAGGCGGTTCATCCGCTCAACAAACAAAGTAAGGCGGCGAGAGTTGGGCGAGAACTGACGACGCAAGAAAGCTCTCTCCGGCATAGCGCTGACAAGCTTACGAGCAACGAAGAAGTTGGCCTGGTGGCTCAGCTCCTCAACAAGTTCATGTGCTGGGGTCGACTCGAAAATATTGTATTCGACAGGCACATTCTCATCATCGAGCTGTTGAAGCAGACGCTGCACAGGAACGTCTGACACGCGGTTACCGAAACGGGCTTCGCGGAACTTGCCGACAGTGTTCTGAGTGTTTTTGTTAGCATGGGGCAAAGGAAGACTAATAGTAGAACCAGAAGAAACTCACGTGCAACAAGCGGATGCTGTCAGCAGAGATGCCACTGGTGTTGACATCAGACTTGCCCTGAACAAGTGCATTGACCTGGTCGTAGTCAAGACGGCCAGCGCTCTTGATGACAGCTTTACCGATCCAGACATCCTCATCAACCACACCGGTGGCGGGGTTGGCCTTGAATACGACACTGACCGTGAGGCGATCTTCGCCAGGAACGAGGGAGCAAAGCTCAGTAGAAACACGGGGAGGCAACATGTTCATGACTCGATCGACTAAATAGACCGCAGTACCGCGCTTCTTGGCCTCGCGGTCCACCAGAGAGTTGCCCTTGACGAAGTGAGCAATATCGGCCACGTGGACACCGATCTCAACCTTGCCATCAGCAAGGCTCTTGACGTGGAACGCATCCTCGAGGGACTTGCTGTCGGCGGGGTCAATCGTAAAGATGGTCTCTTCACGGAAGTCACGTCTCGAAGCCAGGGCGTCACCCTCGGTAGAGGCAGACCAGTCCTCCCAGCCGATGCTCTTCAGCACCGCATCGGAGAAGTCATCTGAACCGAAGTTATTATCGCGGAGCAGGGCATCTGTCTCAACCCGCAAGTCACCCATCTCTCCAAGCTGCTCAACGAGAGTGCCGAAGGGGTGCAGAGATGTAATAGGCCACCTCTTGATAGAAGCAACAAAGATTCGGTTGGCGTAGTCCTGGTGCTTCTCGACGAAGTCCCGAGGTGCCTGCTCTGTGGGGATGGCGATAAGTGGAACACGCTTATCCGTAGGCTTGAACCAGACAATCTTTGGCTTGTCCTGGTGACGGTCATTGTGGGAACGGCCGTGGGCACCATCTCTGGCTTGCCGCTCAGCCTCCTGCTTCTCCTTTGTAGCCTGGCTGCTGGGACGCAAGAGACCTAGGGTTCCTGAGAACATCTGGCCCGCAACACGCTCAATGACAGCAACGACATGGCCAGCGTACAAAGGCTTCTGCTCGTCACTGATCTCATCCTCCTCACATAGGAGAAGGCTCTGGCCCTCGACCTCGACATCGTCGTTCTTCTTCTGGGTAGGACGCTGGCGAAGACTGCCGCGGCGACGGATGCTTCCATCCGGGCCAACTTCCTGTCTATCGCCAGTGGAATCGGAGCGACCAAGCTTGTCATTTCCAGCATTGCTGTTAGAGCGGGCATCGGTGATATCCTTGCGCTTCTTCTTCTCCTCCTTTTCCTTCTTCTGACCCCACACCTCGTCGACATCGAGAAGCTCAATTGCGACATAGTCACCCTCAAGGGCGCGATTCCGATCTTTGCTACCGCAAATGAAAATGTCGGCATCTAGATCGTCGGTGGTAACATAAGCATCGGAACGGTTCTTTTTGTTGACACGCAAAACACCAGCGACCAGTTGTCCATTGCTAAGGAGTGCAGGCAGGTTTGCCTGGGGAAGGTAAGGAGTGAAAAGGGTCTTCCGCTGCTGCTGCTGCTGTTGCTGTTGAACAGACATCTGCGGCGGGGCGTGCTGGCTAGCCTGAAGACCACCCATACCCTGAGGGTTCTGCTGCTGAAGCGCTTGGAGCTGAGCCAGCTGGAGGGGATTCAGTTGCTGATTACCAAACATCTGAGGTGTCATCATGACTTGACCCTGAGGAAGTTGGATAAGCTGAGGTTGGCCGCCATACTGGAATTGACCAATAGAGCCCATGGACTGGTTCATCGAGCCGCGGGAGCGGTGGCCGGGCTGGAACCCGCCCTGTTGTTGACCCACGGGCCTCTGCTGATCCTGGCTCTGGGCTTGGTTGTTGGGTTGGCGCCAGTTGCCCTCGAAGTTTCGCGAGGAAGACCGAGCATGGCCAGCCTGGCTGATTCGCCGTTGGTTATCAGATTGATTGGCTGAGGGCTCACTGGCTTGGGGGAATTGGAACCCGCTAGCACCGCGGCCGGACATGGAACCCCGGTTACCACCGATGGCCATCGATTGGCTGCGGCCGTGGCCACCAGCTCGCATGTTTCCGGCCCGCTGGAAGGCGGGTCCCTGGGGTCCCTGGGGTGCTGGAGAAGTGCTGGCTGCAGGCTTATCATCCGATGAAGACTGGTTATCGGAACCACTTGCACCAGGAGCAGGAGCTGGGAACTGGAATCCCGAGGCTGTTCTCTTCTGCTGGGCCAGCTCGGCGGCTTTCTTGGCCTCAGGAAGAGCAAGTGAGTGGCGGCGCTGGTGACCACCGCCGGGAGGACCTCCACGACCGCGGCCGTGGCCGGTATTCTCGTTCTTGTGGTTATTGTTGTTTTGGCCCTGCTGGTTATAATCGGCGTATCCCGATGCCCCAGAAGACGGAGCAGGGGGTGGGCCCATGGGAAGACCAGGGAGAGCAGACTGGTTGCGACGGTGCGAATGCTGGTTGGGTCCGTTCATTGGTACTCCAAGCTGCTGCTGCTGCTGCTGCTGTCCACCTTGTGGAAACTGGAATGCATTCACTTGCTGTGGGGAGACACCGCTCATGGAGGCACCGGGTTGAAACGAGGGCACCTGGCCCAGTTGCTGGGGCTGCAACAGCCCCATGTTAACGTATTGTTGGTGTGTCGCAGCAATTTGTTGCTGTTGCTGCTGGAGCAACTCGATCTGTTGTTGAATGGCCAGTTGTTCCACTGTAGAGAAGTTCAAGTTAGCTAATATGGTGGGGGTATTTATAGTGGGCGGTCATGAGGGCGGTCACATACTCATCAACGGGGTGAGCTCAGATGGACTTCTCCGATGAGCAATGTGGAACTTGCGGCCACCGGGGCCTTGAGGCCCAGATTGACTTTGTTGATCCATGATCCCAGATGATAGGAGCTGGCAATTACTGTAGAATGTAATATGTGTGTTGGGCGGAATGGATATGGCGACAGGAGAGACTGGTACTGCGCCAAAAGGCAAATGAGCCGAGTGAAATGGATCACAGGCCGACCAAAAGGAGTTTGTATGTGCGGATTGCGGTTTTCAATACGTGAATTATCCTAGAAGAGTGACAAAAAGCGGATCAGTAAGGGTCCAGGATGGCAAAAGGAACAGGAGAAGGCGATGCCAGAGCGAACACGAAAAGTACAAGTCCTAAGGTAAGGGCGGACTCAACGGAAGCTTCGATCTCAGGGGTGGGGGGGGGGGAGGAAAGAAGCAAGCCTGACTATGACCTCACAAACAACAACCTAAAAGCAGCAAGGGCAATCAAAGCCGGGTGAAACTTCCAAAAGCAAATGCGTGGAGTAGATCACGATCCTCTTACCTGCAAGATGAAACTAATGACGACCTCCCAACCCTAGCATTCCAATATGACGTCTGCAGAGTTCAATGTGGATGATCGGTTTTTTTTTTTGTTACAAGTCCAATAGACGATGAGGGGTAACCGGATGATGGCAAGTAGAAGTCGAGGCAATTGCACGTTCAAGGTAAACTTGGATCGAGCAACACCGTAGCAACGGAACGAAGCTTTTGAACGGAAGTTGGAAGGACCGAGGGGATGGAGCTGCACTGGAAAGCACGACTGCAACCAAAAAGCACCTCGACGGAGGACCGGGGTGACCTTTAAGCAAAGATAGCCGTTGAAACGAGCTTGTCTTCAGGATGATTCCCAAGTTCTAAAACGGGGATTCAGAGTTGATTCCCGAAGAGAATGACAGCAAATACTGAAACTAGAGGGAAGGATAGAATAGACGATGAAACCATCGACTAATTCGACTCGAAGGAGTGATATGGGGGGGGAAAGAAGAGAGGGATGGGATAACAGAGAGGGGGGGGGGAAAGGAGAAGAAGAAAGGTGATGCTGGAGATACAAAGAGGTGTGGGGAGAGGGCCATTGGTACGGAAAGAAAAGGGTATGTTCGGAAATGACCAAACAACGTTTAATTACCACTTTTAGCGCAAAAATCCTTGAGTCAATCATGTAAATACTCTGACAGTTATCCGCCGTACTCCGTTCCATCAGCCATGGATGATCGCCCTACCACTTCATCATCATCCTGATGCATCCGTTGAACTGCTTCGAGTCCCCACTTAAAGTATTTAGTATGATCATTTGAGTCTGTAAATGGAAGCTGGCGTCTAGAATACATGGAAATAGGACTTTCACTCCGTATTCTGTACATAGATTCAAATTTAGAACAGCTAGTGGGCTGACTACATTTAGTTTAGGGGTCTTTTAAAGCTAAATGAACATCCATGGACTATCTAGGATCTAATAATTGAGCTTACCAGAAAAGCTTGGTAGTAAGCTCAAGCTCGGTATCAGTAATCATAGATGGATATATGTAGATGTATGTAGTATCTCCCAATTATAGTCGAAAATGGATGATGCTCACAATGATGTAAACGTCAACGGCTCCCAAGCGGGAGCGCGCCAGGGAACCGAACCGGCTCGCGGGTCTGCTTACTCATTCTTGAGCCCCAGCCCTCTTTGGCAAAATATACTGGAACAAGAAATTGGTCTCAGTATTTGAGCGTAAATGTTTTTGATATTGCTTTTTTCTATACGTGTGACCATCTTCTTACTTAGTACTAGTTAATTAGGTATATAACTATGTAGTTAAGGCGAGCATGTTTAGTTAACTACTAGCTAGCTGATATTTATGGCCGATAAAAAGAAGGCGGTGATGGGAAAGCGGTAAAAGGAGTTGAAACTTTGGACGTTGAACTTTACAGGTAATTTATTTTCTTTGGCTTCATAAGTGAACAGTGAGGAAATATTGAAGGCCAGAGATACATGTACGTTGAGCACTCGTGTTATTATTGGATGGTTATGCAATGCAGCCAAACGCTCGATTTTGTTTGTACCCCTCGAAAGCTACATGCTAATCCCAATCTTCCCATAGCTCCAATCTCCATGGACCCTCCCTTCTACTAGTTTTGACGCGACAACGTCGAATTATTCACTCGCTGCATGCGCAATTCACTTTGCTCGTCACCTACCCCAGAACCTTTGGTGCAATCGCTCTCAGGCTGTGTCTTTCCTTCTCCTCCTCCTTCTTCCTCCTACCTTCAAATTCAGATCGATACCACTAACTGCGTCAATCGCGAAGCGCACTTTGCTTTGGGATATTGTTCCATGCCCAAGGGACTTCTAAACCCCTCTAACTACGGATATGGTCACAGTAACTTGAGTTCTCCATATCCACTTGACTATCCTTTCCCCTCACTAGTCCTCCGAACCTTCTCCTCAACCTTTCCCAAACATCCACTACCATTTCCCACTACAAACCTTTGGAGTAAACCATTGACGCATGTCGACACCCAAAATGGCGCGGTTCCGAACCCATGTCCCACCCTTGGACAGCCCGTCCAAGCAGCTCATGCTCGACCTTGTCCGCGATCTCGAACAGGTCAAAATTTTTGACGCCGACCTGAAAAAGGTTCACCAATATGAGAGAAAATTGTTCTACGAAAATCTCGACCGGATCGACAGTGAGCGTGAAGCGGTCCACACAGCTGCTCTCGACCAGGCCGCCGCCTTCCACGATAGCGTCCGCGAGGAAGCGGAGACGACGTTGAAAGACCACCTCCGCGCTGAAGAGCAGGAGCGCCTGCGGAAGGAGGAAGCGATCCGCAAGGAACAAGAACGGGTCGAACGCGAGAACGCTGAAAAATTACGCCGTGAACGGGAAGCAGCTGCGCGCGCTGAGGCCGAACGCCAAGCCAAAGAGCAGGCCGAGAAGAAGGCTCAGGAGGAAGCGGCTAAGAAAGCCGCCGCCGTTGAAACTGCACGCAAAGCCGCGATTGAGGAGAAACTCCGCAAGGAACGCGAGCAGGCCGACGCCCAGAAGCGCAAGCAAGAGGAGGAGGCTCGGAAGGTACAGGAAGAGGCCGACCAAAAGGCCCGCAGCCAACAGCAGCAGAAACTCGGTGGTGGGAACCTTTCGCCTGAAGATATCCGAGTGCAGAAACGTTACGTTGAGCTGCATAAGACTCTCAAGGACATGCGCAAGTGGCTCAAGGATCTCGGCCAAACCCAGCCTGACCTCAAGGCTACCATGGGCAATTTACGGCGCTCGATCAAGAAATCTGTTGGTCAGCTTCGATCTGGCACCGGCGCCAACAAGCAGCAGGTACGAAACCCCACTCCCCTCATTGGATGCCGTTGTTTAGATACTGATTATCTGAACCCAACCCAGATTATTCAACTCAAAGCCGAACTTGAAAAGGCTCTTGCCTATTCTGAACCAACAGTGGATATCCGAAACTTCATCGCATTCCCGTCCGAGGAGATTGCACAGTCCGAACACAAGGTACCGGCAATGCTTATCTACGGACTGAACATTGTTGCGAAGAGCTTGATTTCCTCTCTCCTGGCCGAAGCTTCTATTAAACAATCCCACGCTGAGCCAATCGGCATCATCGCCGCTCAGATCTTCTCTTTCGAAAACTTCACATACCAAGGAGTGCACATGTCCGACATCATATGGGCCAAGTACCGTGTTGTTTGCCCCGCTCTGTGGGGATTCACAGGCAACGACAAGACTGAAGGAGGCCGTCGTGCCGTGGGCTGGTGGCGTTCACCAGACACTGGCTCATGGGTCACCGAGGAAGTTCACATGGATCGCATGACCGCTCTTGGTGCGGGTTATGCTGCCATGACTCTACGAAATTTCGCCAAATCACCACGCCGGAACCCATTCCCTAACACCATGTTCTGGGAGGCTATTCACAAGATCTTGGCTATTCCACCTTCAGAATTGCAGGAGACCCAGGTTGCCCTCCTGGCAGCCCTCCTCCGATCTTCGGGCGAGAGGATTCTCGGATTCTTCGGTCAGTATGGACTGGCCCTCATGCACTATGTCATTGTCGACCTTCCCCGCAAGCTTCAGCGGGAGACCATGGCTGTGACCCAGTTGAGCACCCTCAGGGAGCTCTATCTGAAGGAGAAGAATTTTGCGTTGTGATTTGGGCTTGCGGGCGTTTGGGGAGGGGGGGGGGGATTGGAACTTTTAGGATTTAGGTAGCCTCGACAACAATGGCTGGAGGCGAATAGAAACAACATGGCGTTTTTTTTTTGTCTATGACTGGCGATCATCGCCGGATATCATCATACCCTCTACGAATCATGTCAGAAACATTTTGTATGATGGAGCCTGTTAACAATAGCCGAAATCTTACATGAAATGTCCTCACTGTAAAAAGCACCCGGGTAAGTCTGGTGACAATAGAACTCCGGTTACATTTGCATTCCACGCGATCTCGGCCCCAGGAACTCCTAAGCCACAGAGAACTGCCATCTAACATTCTGACAGGTCCCCCACTCACATACCAAGTGGCTTACTACACAACCACACCTCAATCCCAAATCCCAACGCACCGTACTTTGTAGAACCCAGAGCCCTGTATTCGAGTGTTTCCACCATTTCGCCAAGTCTCAGTCCCCACCAAAGCATTGGCTCTACGCAACCCCATTTATTCGAGGTATGGACATCGATGTGGTAATGAGGATTCAAGGCGAGGTCATATCTATGTTGTTCATGGATTTATGTTTGCTTTTGTATGAGAATAGTAGATTGGTTCCTGCTGTATGGAAAGTAGAATGTCTTCCAACACTTTAGTGACGTTGGTTCAGGATGGCAACACATTGACATGGGGCCACCCTTGGCTGCCAACTAATCCACAACGAGAGGCAATATACGAAGGGATATCTTGGATGGAACATGCGTTTGCATTGACCATGGCGATTAGCTGATTGTGAAACCTGCAGGTGGTATGAGCTATCTCAAGCACATAGCTGCAAGGGCAAGGCTGGGCATGCATGAGCCACTGCATTTTTTTTTTGTCCAGAGGCGACAAAGCAGTTATGAAAAGAGAGGCCGAACTGGCTAGATTCTAGCGAACCATAGGAAATTTAGTTCCAATGACATCTCTCTGTGGTTCTCTTCTCTGAAGCGATTAGGATCGGCGATGCTGTGGGCGGTGTGGACCAAACATAATGATGCGGTTCTTCGCCATCCGATCGATTCCCCCAATACTCTCCACGTGGGGGCATTCTTCCAAGGATTAGCATGGATCTGGACATCTGGGCGATGTGGGCTTTGTCAAGGTGACATCATGATGGGCAACAAAGATATCAAAGATGGCTCTTGGACATACCTCTGATATTGGAAAGGGAATTATGATCCGGGAGAGGAATTGAATATAAAGAGTTATAGGATAGAGAAGGCAGACAAAGAGCACAAGTCCAGACCGTTAAAGGGGAGATGTTTCATCCACGGATCCAAGAATAGCATAATTGATGCTAATTGGTTCAATTCACCCCCTATAAACACCAAGTGGAGACTTTCCTCCGCCTTAACAAAGTCCAGGAGCCTGTCAGGGTCTAAACCCTCATTTCCCCCCGAATCTCCGAACCTCTGGGTCTTTCTTCTTGGTCCCTGACGTACTTCCTTTTTATTTCTTACATTCCTTTATTCTATTTTGTGGTCGAATTCTCTCTTTACATCGACCTCATTTCACAATGCGTGCCTCTGCTGTTATTTCCCTCTTGCTGGCCGCTGCCCCGGCCCTGGTCTCTGCTAAGGGTACTCTTGGTTTTTCACTCGGTAACAAGAACGCCGATGGGACTTGCAAGTCCACCAGCGATTATGAGGCCGACTTCGATGCCCTGAAGGGCCTGTCGACTCTCGTCCGTACCTACTCCGGTACTGAGTGCAAGACTCCTCAAAACATTCTGCCTGCTGCCAAAAAAAAGGGCTTCAAGGTTGTTCTCGGCATGTGGTAAGTCTTTTGTTATTGCCCCCTAATCGGCACTATTTTAACTCTTTTCTTTAGGGTTGGCAAGCCTACCGATACCAAGAACCTGTTGGAGGAGACTTCCTTCAAGGGAGATTGGGCTGCCATCCAGAAGGCTATCCCCGGTTACGAAGACGTCATTCACGCCATCACCGTCGGATCCGAGACTCTCTACCGTGGTGACCTGACCGGACCCCAGCTCCACACTTATATCAGCCACGTTATGGACAATGTACCCGAGGGTGTCCTTGTTGGCACCGCCGAGAGCTGGAACAAGCTTGCTGACGGCACTGCTGACGCCCTCTTCACCAAGGAGCCCGTTGTCAAATATGTGTAAGTAGAGAAAGGAAGACAAGAGGAGCTTTGCGCAATACTAACCCTCTTCATAGCTTGGCCAACGCTTTTGCTTACTGGCAGGGTGCTGCCGCCGACAAGGCCCACAAGACTTACTTCGACGATATGGCCGGCGCCATGGAGCACATCCAGAAGATTGCTGGTGACAACGCTAACAAGATCAACATTGTTACCGGTGAGACCGGCTGGCCCACCGATGGCGGCTCTGATTACGAGGATGCCAAGGCAGGTACCAAGAATGCCGAGAAGTTCTGGAAGACTGGTATCTGTGGTATGCTCGACTGGGGTGTTGACCTGTTCTATTTCGAGGCCTTCGATGAGTCCTGGAAGCCCGATACCAAGGGTGACAACGGTGAGATGAAAGATGAGCAGCACTGGGGTCTGTTCGATGCCAATCGCAAAATCAAGTTCGACACCACTTGCCCTAAATAGACTATGCGTGACTATTTGTTCGCCTTATCGAAGTGTCTTTGCTTTGACAGCTTGCCCGCAACTAGCGGTTTCTTTTTCAGATTGTATTGATTTATTCTGGGGATCCTTATATCCTACTCCAATGGAAATATGGTTTAATTGTCTGTGATTGTTAATTGTCTGATTGACAGGTAAACGATGACATGGGCGTGCTGCAGCGTCACGCCGAGTTCAAATTCTACATGTAATTACATTTAGAATCCGGGGACCTGTGAAATTGACAAAAATGACGGCCCTCGAGGCAAGAAAGGGCCGCCTTCCCGTAGGTTGACTACCTCACATGACTTTCGAATTTCAAAATATGGTCTAGCCTAAATGGGATCACTGTACCGATGTACTTCTCTCGGTCCGCCTTAGTGCTTAAATGAACCCGGCTAAAATCTATAAATCGGCCTACTTACCCAAGAGAGTAAATTTCATTCAAAGCTCTACAGTTTTATTCTTTTGATTTCAAAGACCTTCATAATGGCAAGGTTTTCATTCAACTCTATAGACTATCTGAGTCTAATTCGGCAACATGAGCAAAGCAATGAGAGTCTCTTTCAAGACTCCTTTGCCATCCAATCGCCTAGCTCTACCGTCACAGAGCCATTCACGCTCTCTATTGATCCTTCTCCACGACCCTTCGATACTGGTCCAGCATTATCCGGCACTGCCTAGTCCCAACTTCACCACTTCCTCTTCTATACCTCCCCCCAATGTGAACTACTTAAGCCAAAATCCTACGCAGCATCCATCAACTCAGCTGCACGGTGTCACTGAATCTTTGGCTCTAGACTATCTCGGTCCAGGCCAAAACACCCTGTGCACGCCCTCGACATCTACTACCTCGTGCAAAAGGCACCGACGGCAAATGATCGCATTGATATTACCCAGGAATTGACATCTGGTCGTTCCCGGGGGACCAAACAAGAGTGAGCTATCTATCCTCGAATCTGAGATGATAGCGTTAATCATTATCTTCTTTTTAGCTATCGCAACACTTTTCAATGCCATTGGAAGGACTGCAAGTACCGCGGCATGTTCAGTCGCAAGAATGTGCTGATGCGACATATCGAAACGCAGCATGTCACTCCATGATCCTTTTATTGCCCGAGATGTGCCAGGTCCTTTGCGCGAAAGGATAACATGAGGGAGCATGTGGGGAGAATTCATTGGGAACATTGAATATATCTATGATCGATGCTAGTGTTGGAATTTGGATTGCTAGGCTACTTACCTTATGGAGAAATCTACATATGAGGTTGGTTCTTACAGTACGTAGAGATGAAAATTAGCGTTAGGTTCGGGGTGTAGAGTGTATTTTCAAGAGTTTTAGTACTAGCGAATTGTTTGATTGAACACCTTCCCATGAATGATGCCTTGCGGTGCTTTAGATATTAATAAACCTAGAAGCATTCTGATCTTGATGTTTACAGTCTGAGGCGTACAATCATGAGAGTTAGTCAATCCAGGGCAATGGGGCAGTCATCAATCTATTGCTGATGTACAAGCTTGACCTAGAATGTAGAGATCATGAGGTTAAACTACATTCAATGTACCATTGACCCATCGTTCCGGCGGTGTTCGGCTCTTGCTAGAGAATGAAACCCGATTCCAATGCTCATGAGAAAGATGGCCAAAGAGCATAGCTCATAGTTGCTATATCTGAATACGAAGGAATTGTGTTGCTGGTTTTCTCGGGAATTACAAGATACACGTAACCTTGGGAATGAATATCAAGAAATGTAAACAATGTCATGTGAATTCTCAAGAAACACCTAGAAAGGAAATGAGGCAAAATGTTGTCAAAGCCAATGCAAATGGTAACCCCAGGGCCAGCTTGCCCAGCCTAGTCATGTTGCCAATATAATTGTATGGAACCAGCTCCATACAATTCTCCTCGCTCCTCGCTTCATGCAGTTTTGTAAGTCCAGTTGATTCAACAGACCATCAAGGGTATCAAGAAATGTCGCTAACGGGGGTAGGGATAAAGGGAGGTGAGGTGGGTGTAGATAGAGGGAGAGCGAAAGAAAAAAAAATGAAAAATGAACGAAAGAATCAGCTCGACTCAAATCAAAAGTTGGTTGTTTTCCCCAACTATGAAAATGAATCGAAGGTCTGAAAATGCAACTCAGGAAGAATCCATCAATATGATGTCAAGTTCCAAATACATTGACGGATTTCTCATAGCCGGCGAATGCCAATGCGTGGCTTTGCTCTGACGGCAAGGCGCTTGTGATGGCCACTCATGGTTTTCTTCTTGGAGATTCCAGAATTGGGGGAGGCAGAGAGAGATGATGAAAGTGATGGCGTGGGTAGTTGAGCATGTGCTGGAGAAGGGGGAGCAGAGCCATTGAGTGTCTTCATGGGGTGGTATTCGCGCTTCTCTTTCAAACCGCGCACGGTTGCAGACCCACGGTTCTCTTTGCCATCGCCGCTCATACGGCGTAGGGGGTCTTGCATGGGCAGCTGGGGCAAATCCTCAAATATTGGCATCTCGTCCCGGAGACGGCCGGAGGCGTTGACTCCTCCACAGAGTAGGGAGAGCTTAGGTGTTTTCCGTAGTGGTGATGAAGTACGAGAACGTGTGTTTGCGGTGATGTTTCGTTCATTCGAGGTCATGGCGGGGGTATCGTTGTCGTTGTCAGAGTCGATGAGCATCAGGTCTGCATCATCTTCAGGGTAGGTAATTGACAGGACGGAGAGAGGGCGTTTTCCCAAGGCAGTTTTTCGGGGACTTGGGGGAGCAAAGTAAACAGGAGATGGGGAAAGAGTTGGGTTGTTTTCTTTGCTTGCGCTAGTGGGGTCGTCGTTTTCACTGTCGCTCATGACGTCGTCTGTCGCCGGTGGGGAGGGTTGGGCGAAAGGATTTGAGGAGGACTGTGATGGCTGTTCGATTGCAGTGGTGTTGCGAGCAATTTTCTTGATCGTGGCGGTGTGGGTGCGGGCATGTTTTCGCCGGCGTTGAATGATTGCCTCTTCTTCTTTCTGTCCAAGTATGGACCCTTCCTCCTCGCCCCGGAGCTTTGCTTCCATCACTGCATCGTTGAGGTTGGGTGGGATCGGGGCATGGATTGAAGTCATGAGCTTGGCTTGGTGTGCGAAGGCGGCGTAGTTCTCTTGCATGAGAGCGCCTGCAGAAGCGTTAAGGGCCGAGTCAGGGTTGGGATAGATAAGCAGACATGAGATTGTCTGTAAAAACAAGTGATGTTGTTAGTTAACTGCAGAAACTCATTGCGCTAGTGCGGTCTCAATTCAACTTACCACCAACACATCGCGGAGGGTAAGATTCGGCTGCCAATCTCGCTTAAGCGTATCTACACAGACAGCTCCAGTGAGCTCCTCCATGTTCGGGTGCCATATTCTCGTCTTAAATGTAGCTTTCGGGGGGCTCTTCGGGTAATCATCGGGTATCTTGAGATGGAGCTCCCATAACCCTTGTGAAAAAGGTGTGCCTGCCGGGCCCGTGAGAAGGATTGTCAGCTGTGACAGGTCGTCGCCGTCCGAGGGCTTCAAGTAGTACGGCGGAAGATCGCGGTGTAAGGCAGTATGGTCGGCAGCTAGCCGGCGCAAGTTGGACGGCTAGGTATCCATGTCAGATATAGAGCACGAGCGTATATTGGTTGCTGGGGAACCAGTGTATGTTAATGACTTGGAATAAGGACTTACCATGCTGAAGCTTTAGAGGGTAGGGTGATAAAATCTAGATCAGACTTGGAGAAGAATGAAATTCAAAAAGTGATCCGGACCAGTGAAATCACAACAATCACAATCACAATGATAAGAGATGGTTACTTCGTCGACGGTTTGTTTTGAGTGGAGGTCGCACTAACCTTTTTGGTACCGCGTCAGTCACCTGATCTTTGTCGCGTAATATGCGCGTAACCAATATTACCTCTTTGGGCTCTTGCTATCCGAGACGTCTAGATCATCGTCCCTTATTCCTATACCTAACCAGCATCGGGACAATTTTCAGAACTTCAATGCAACAATAGCGACCAGAAGCTGAAGTACGGCCATTATAGTCACCAATCCCTCAACCAGAAAAACACCCCAGAATTTTCGCCAGTGCTTTGTTTTGCGTACGAGTTCTTTAACCTGCAGATTTCTTCGCGTGCCACATTTCTGGAATTGTTATCTTGTCCAAACAGAAGACGATATATCTCGTATAAACCGTCCGTTTTCGTCTCGACCCACCCTATTCGCTTGTCTAACTAGTCGCCCTAGTTCTATAGCTTAAACGTCCGAAAAGTGGCTATAATTGGTCGCCTACATCTGTCGCTTATTCCATGGGCAGTGGAGGATTTTATTAATTTAAGCCCGTGTGGGAGGTGGTACATTAGATTCGGTAGTACATCGTCTATAAAGAGTAATATAGGCCGCTCGACTGAGCTTAACTAGTATAATAGCCTAAAAATGGTAATATACAGTCGCCTTTATCCCGGTCTCGCTCTATCTTCTTCTTAGAGGTTCCCCTCTGCTCTTAGAGGCACCGTGATATTTTGTGTGCACTATTGGGATGTTCTAATTATTGTTGTCTGTCCTTGGGGGTATTGGAAGAGGGGAAATGTGCAAATTGTGGCAAGATATATGGGGTTGAAATGGTGGACGATGTTGATGGGCTAAGAGAGGCGGTTATAAAGAGGCTACCTGTTAGTTTGTGAATACCCGAGCCTTTAAAGCGAGAAACTTGGCTTTTGAAGTTAGCATATTGATGCAGGGAGGGTATGGAACTGTCTCTCGCTTATCGCTATTGGCATATGGCCCCATTCAAAGGCAATACATTGGGACGTTTTCATATTGAGTACTATGACAGTCACCCTAGTAGACGTTACATCAAGGGCCTTGCCATTGAGAGAACATTTAGACTGGATATAAGTGGTGTAACACGTGCTGCTCTAGCCAAAATCCGAATTCACTCACCTGCTAACATGACTGAAGCCAGCTATTATTGACCACATGAATTATCATAATGATATTGTTAGGAAATATTTGGAATATCTAAACCACCGCACTACTTTGTGATGTATGATCGTCACAATGCCATATCATAACTACAATTACTATAGACTCAATACATACGTAGGAAAATAAGACTCGTATTTACCCAGGGATAGATTAAGCTAATCACAAAGATAGAAGAAAAAGTTGGAAACAGGTGCGCCGTGAATATGCGCCTCCAAGTACAACGCAGTGAAACACAGCCCTGCCCAATGATAAAGAATTACAAATTCCATAGGAAGTCTTGGGGGATAACCCCAAAAAAAAACCGATACTCGCATTTTCATGTCCCTCATTCTCGTTAATCCAAATACCGGATCAACATAACCAACCGACCACCAAACCCTCGCCATCTAAGGAGACCGAAGTGGACATCACAGCACGATAAAAGACAGGAGATTGACATTGGTCAGTCACAGACTCGTGATGTGCTTACAGGAAAGCAACGAGAGCAGCACCGGCCATCATGCCGAGACCGACGGGGCCAGCAGTGGCAATGGCAGCACCACCGGTAGAGGCAGAGCTGGAAGCAGCAGCAGAGGAGCTGGAGGACTCTGATGAGTCAGAGGAGCTGGTGGAGGTACCAGTGGTCTTGGAGTCGGTGGTCTTAGTGGCAGAGCCGCTGCCAGATTTGCTGGAGGCAGTGGACAAAGTGCTGTGAGAAGCGCCGGGGCCGGCGACGGGTGAGCTCAGGCCAGCGGGGATGGAGGCGGCGGGCTGCTGCGAGGTCACGGCAGGGGCCTGGCTGGTGACAGCGGTGGGCTGGCTGGTGACAGCAACGGGTTGGCCGGTCACGACGCCAAGGGAGTTGGTCTGGGTCAGGTACTGAGTAGCAGGGTTCTCAACAGGCTGTTGGAGAGGTTAGCTGTTATTTTTTGTGACATGGTGTGATATTTTGTTTCCGCTTACCAGGATGGTGACACTGCCCTCGGCACTGGCCAGGGCGACGGCCGAGAGGGTAGTCAAGACGATGGAGAAACGCATTGTGATAGATTAGAGATTATCGGTGAATTATTGTAAGTATGGAGAATGTGTAGAGAGAAATAAAAAGAGATATCATAAACGAAAGGCTGGGGGAGGGGGGATTATAAGGCATTGGTTGTCCAGGGAAACAAGTCTCATGTTGTCGCAAGGCTGTTTAGTGCACACGTTAGACCCGAAAGTGGCTTTGGAAATAGATACCCTGTTCTCCAGTCATCGACCAGAGACTGGGTCTAGCGCCATTTGGGATCTGCAAGGTCTTGCAGTTCTATTTCGGTCTATTTCTGGGGTCACACCAATCCGTAAGTTCCCCATGTATTTAATATAAAGACATTTGCCTCTACAAGACAACATGGTAAATATATTAAATATATATATATATATAGATGTATAGAATAGAATGTATGACTCTTGTAAAGACATCTTGAAATAGTTGGAATAGTTGGCAGACGGGATGGCAATATGCACCAAACACTAGCTAATTTAGCGTCTGAGCACATGTACCGCCGTATGGTAAAAACAAAATGGAAATATACAAAGTGGACATGTCTCAATGTCAGAATTCAGTGGCCTATAAGCTTACCTTGCCCTATTAGGTGAAACATTACCGAAGCATACGAATCTCTTTCCAGTTCGGTTCTGGCTTTTCTCTACATCGGCTGTTATTAATAAATACTTGGGCCTCAAATGGCGCGATCCTACGTGTCTTGGGGCTCCAACCACCCGAGTGAGACGTCACCTTGTGCGGTCACCCAATCAAGTATGCCGAGCTCAGCCTTGTTGTGTATATATTAATGCAAGGGTATATTCAGCTCTGACAATATATTTGACTCCGTACACAAATCTCGGTACTTTCGCACTTTGGACATCGCAACCCGCGTGGACTTGACTCCTCAGATCAGCAATGTGGGTCTGAGACAAGTCAAACGGCTACTCCAGTAGGAACCGACTCGATATTTAAATTTTCTTTTTACTTGTGCCGTGACTAACATAAACATATTCCTGAAATATCGAAGAGGGCATACTATGCTCGTACCGTGCACCTTGGGGTTTTAAGCTTGATCCCAGAGTGTATTCTGACTAGGCATGTAGTACTGTTGACGTGCATATGGAGTAATTTCGTCGCACAGCTACATCACATAAACATGTAGTATGCAATATAGAGGACTACATCCTATACGGACATACAATTCCCCTTGGCCTCGACTTGCCTTCTACTCACCAGATATGGAGTACCAGATAGGGAACTGCGACGATCACCTCAATTATGATTCTCCGTGCCAAACCAAGCATTCTCGCCCAACTCTGAAATAAGCTCCCCTTTCGCTACCGTATAGGCCGCACCCTCCTTGCTCGTTGTGGGCTGAGTCTCAGCAATTTAGGACAGTAATGTTTTCACCTTAGGGCCGAGACTACTCGTATGTATCGCGATCCTGCAGCGGTGTGGCGTAGGAATGCAAATCGGATGCGCCAAAAGCTTCTATATACGGCAGTGATCCCACTTGGTCACAAGCAGCCGGGCAGGCCTCGGTGGCATGTCTGTGGAACCTCTTGGTCGGCTCTAGAATACTCGAATTTGCCACCCCTGCGTCGCTGACACGTGCCAGTAGTTATTATAGATCAGTACGGAGTACAAGGCCATCAGTTCCGGACAAGTAGATATCATAATCAACAAACTGAGCATCTCAGTTGAAAACTGAACTCCATGCATATTATACAGCTCCCCTAACTGCAGCACATAATCACAAACTCAATATTCAACAATCACTCCTTGATCAACACATCCTGACCGCGAACCCAGTCCGCAAACTCCCTTCGCTTAGCCTATATTTCCATATGTTAGCTTCAGAGATTCCTAGCCCAAAGAAATGATTTGTGTCCAGCAAGAAATGCACATATTCGATAAATCCAAATCCAGATGTTCTTCCGGCAAGACACGCGTCAAAGTAGATCCAAAACTCACCCGAATATCCCAGAATCCGTAACGCTCCTCCAGACCCAGGTACGGGTTGCGCGCTCCGCCATTCCGTTCAACCTCGCCAGCCCATTCGCGCCAGCTAATGGGCTTCAACTTCTGCGCGCTCAAGACCAGTCCGATGGAAACAATTAGTACGGCAACGAGAGTCTCGATGATAATGTCTTGTGGGAGGGCGGTAGATGTGTTGTTGCTGTAAAGGACAGTGTGTTCGTGGGCCGAGTAGCCTCTGTAGAAGGGGTTGTTAGCTTTGCTCGAGATGGAATAGATATGGTTATTGAGCGGATGGGTTAGAGAACTTACGCATGGGCTATCAGGATGAGGCCGAAGCAAACTACCATGCGAGAGAGGAAACTCATGATGGGTGGTTGGTTTTGGCTTGCGGGTTAAGGTCCAGTGGCTGCGGATTTTTTTCGTATCGGTGGATAATTTTAGATGACAACCACTAGATTATTGGAGTTAAGATGAAGCCTGTGGTCCCTGGCTGTGGACGGTGGTGTGGTGCCGTTTGATAACGTTGGCAGGAGGTTCGTGGAGGCCCGGCCTCCATCCCGCGGTTTACCTAATCAACTTTTTACTCCAGGGCTGGCTCGGATTTCATCATATCTATTGCATTCATTCATACTGCTATTAGAAATGATCGATGATTCTGAGCCTTGAGAAAGAAGCATAAAGAGCACATCCTTCAGACCCTCGTGATTTCTTTCTAACAGCAATCATATTCTAACACCGATTCTTCTCACATTCATTTTGTAGATAAATCATGCCCCTCTATCTCTTCATATGTCACAATTGCAGAGTGATATATATCCATCTTCTCGTTTTCCTGACGGTCATGGGAGGCAGGCCACAGAGCTGGCGCCTCGATATAAAGACCCCCCCCCCCCAATACCCCAATTCTCCAACTTATACAGTCGATCACAACCGATGCTCACAGCTAGAGTAGCTGCTTGTCGGGTTCATGGGAAGAGTGTAGCCTTTCGATCCATCTTGTTCTCTACGATCGACCCCAGAAAACACATATAATGAATATGACCGTTGGTATCAATACCAAAGTATGATATATCTGGATAATGCTTGGTAAAATAGGACAAAGAGTCGAGGTTTAGGTCAGAACCGAGCAATTCCGCTTTCTTGGTTATTCTATCCGGATCTGCTATGTACGTGCCTAAGGGGCAGTAGAAATATATACTGGTATCGGGAGACAAAGAAAAATTGTTAACCACTCTTTGATTGGTACAGCGAGTCCTCAATGAATTCCAAAGCTTCGTTTTTGTCAATGCAGAATATACATATGTATACATGTAGGTACTACTCAGGTATCCGGAGTTGAACCTTTTCGTGAAGTGGTCAAATCGGAGTCATCCACAAGACAATAATGACGGGACAGCGACGTCAATAGAAACAATAAGTGACTAGACTATGTACATAGGTAAGTATGATTGATTTCCTAAGATTGATTCGCCAAAAGCTGGATATTGAGCGTTGATATACGACACCTGTCTGCTCAAAATTCCGCAGTGCAATTGCTACCCCTGTATTTCGACAGCCCTGGAGGCTAGAGAGGACATAGGGCACATGTAGCTTGATTTGAACAATTCACGCACACATGTGCAATTTACAGGGCAATTTACAGTGGAAAATAATTGGTCATGAATTTTTTAATTTTTCATCAATGACCGGTCACTACTGGACCAGCTTTCTAGTTGGACTAGGTTCGTAAAGGATTCCTTTGACATCACACATTTCCATCACACAATTCCTGCTTCATAAATGGGCATCGCAAATTTACAGCTTCTGCATGGCAGCGATGTCAGTGGACTGGACGTGGTCCTCATCCTCCTCAATCGTCTGCTGGAGCTCATCGGTGGAGACCTTCTCATCCTCAACGACAAGGTTGATCTGGAGCTTCTTGATACCGAAGCCGACGGCAACCAACTTGGAGGCACCCCAGACAAGGCCGTCCCACTCAATGGCGCGGACGTTGGCCTCCATCTCAGCAAGGTCGGTCTCATCATCTGGAAATGGTTGTTAGCATTTGAAATACAAAAGATTGGAAAATACATACCCCAGGGCTTGACCTCCAGGGTGACGAGGGACTTGGCGGCGGGCTTGGTCTTGCCGGCCTTCTTGGCCTTGTACTCCTCGAGACGTCTGTTGCGCTCAGCAACAACCTCGGGGTCCTCCTCCTCAGAGTCGGAGCCGAAGAGATCATCCTCATCCTCCTCCTCCTCGGGCTTGTCCTTGGGGTTGGAGGGAAGATCACGAGTCTCAGGGCCGTAGGTGGTGAAAGCGGCGGAGGAGTCACCGGGGAGGGTGGAGAATTCACTCTCGTAAGAAGCGATGTGCTTGTACCAGCGGGCGACGTGGGGGTACTTGGCAGCGTCAGGGGCGGCGCTGAAGGCCTTGAAGGTCACGACATCGGCCTGGCTGGGAGAGTTGCTGTTGAATCGAGTCAGCAATGATGTTCACATCAGACGAATGTATTCAACAATGTAGCATAGTAAAGCTAGATCAGAGGTGCGATTGCTCGCGATTGGTTGTAGTCATCCAGCGGGGTCTTAATCCGCCTCCTAAACACGGACCAATGTTTCTCATCATGAAAGCATAACAGGAAAGGGAAAAGGAAAAAAAATCCAGGGGTAATTGAAAGGGAGGGGGGAGGAATTCATACCCAACAACGTAGGACCGAGTGGACAGGAAGTGGTTGGCCACTGAGGGGCACAGTCAGTCACCAATTGATTCGAAATAACAAAATCTCAGGGGCGCCTACGAGTCAGGCCGGCATCAGAGACAAAGTCGGTGAAACCCATTGTGAAAGAGAGGTGTGGTGGTATCTGGAAGAAGAAAGAAAAGAAAAGGAGAAGAAAGTAGATGAGGGAGGGGTTAAAAAGGGAGGAGTTTTTTTTTTATTACGGAAAATCTCTACGGGTCACGGAAAAACGTGGAAGAGCGAAGACTAGTCATGTGACTTTGCGAAGCTTAGACGGGTCATGTGACTAACTGGTGACATAGCCTAGACAGGTCA